CCACCAAATATTAAGCTCTCACTCAGGGACTGAAATTTCCACTGGCAATTAAGAAGGGCTTTCCCATTAGCAAATGCTACATTAAAATTCTTTTGCATAATTAAGAATAAAATCCTCTTCAGAAATCTGGAAAGATTTAATAAATCCTGATAGGCTACAGGGGTTGTAAGAAAAAAAAACAGAGAGAGGGAAATGAATGCCTTGAATTGTGTGGAGATAACAAATTATTAAAGATTATTTCTTCACTAGTTCCTCTACTAGGTAGAGACAGCATGTGTATAGAAAAAGAAGTCTGCATTGACCAAGTGACCTAATCAGTGGGCTTAAGGAAGGCTTTCTAGTGGCTGAAAGCACTGTGATCATGCTCATGCTCTTCCTGAACATCAGCAGAACTGAGGAGGCATCACCTCCCAGGAGTCACTGCCAGGTCTCCCGGGAGAAGAGACAGCTCTGCCGACGTGGGACCAAACCAGGAGCTCCAGCCCAGCTCGGGAGCTGGGGCTCACACACCCTCCTCACCATCTGGCCACGGGAAGCATCACTTCAGCTCTTGTTACAGAGCCATACACGTGGGCTGGAAAATTCAGTTTGCTCATTTTATTTGGAAATGCTGCAGAGCTGTTGTACAGTTCAGAACAACTATATTTGTAAATATAATCTGTGAGGAAAAAACAATAGCAATGCATAGAAACAGCCTCCTCTGCAAGCACCTTGCCTTCCTTAGGCTTGCCTGATTTATTTGTAGTTTGTTTACTATATCTTATTATATTTTCACAAAATAAATTACATTTATTTTAAAATTAAAATCTATGTTTTGCCCTTAAGTTCCAATATAATAAACTGTTGCTCTGGATTAATTTGTCACTGGATAACTATTCAATGAAATAGTTACTTACTTATTTTTCTTCATTCCAGAAAGAGCTATTCATGCATGGCCATACTCAATTGTGTTTATTTAGAAAGCAAATAGGAAAAAACAAAACAAAACAAAAAACACACTAACAAAACCCACAAACTAGCCCCAAAACAATCACACCATACTAATGAATAGCTCATGTCTTTTGCAAAACCACTTATCTTCCTCAGATCCATAGGACACTTGAGAGGAAGAAAAACATGTCAACATGGTATTCTTTTCAATTATTTCAGTTTTTTAATGGTTTAGTCTTGAGTTCTGCATGATCTGCCAACTGTACCCTGAAAGACACATTAATTTTCCTTGTGCCAGTGGGTCATAGTCTCCTATGAACAAGTGGAAAACTCAAAGGAAACAGGATTGGCAGGTGCCAGAGATAGAGGTGACTGGGAGCAGCACAGAGAGGAACACACTTGCACCTGGGTTTGCTGCTGAAGGATCCAGGAAGGCTCAAAAACTTTTAAAGTATGAGAGCCATAACATGATGGGACTCTCCACTCCTCTTACATGGTTTGCATTTCCTGAATGTGACTAGAAATGACACAAAATTATATGATGATCCATACTTTGCGTATCTTAAACTACCTTCAGTGTACCAAAAAGTTGTGAAAGTAATAAAAGCTAGAAACAGAATTTCCAAACCACTCAAGAAAATCCCATCCAGTGTTTCTTAGCTTGAAACAAACTCATTAATTTGGGGTGAGATTCATTCTACTTAAATTAGCCATTTGAAGATTATTTGGCTAGGGCTGCACTAGTCACTGCAGGATCCCCAGCATCAGTGGAAAGCAATGCACACCCCCAGGAGCTGCAATGAATCACAGGAAAGCAGCAATGCTTTTTTCCAGAGCACCCGTCCAACAATGTGCACTTCAGGACCCTCTGAGCCAGCATTTGCAGCTTTATGTTAAAACCTGTCAAGGGCTCCACTGCAGAATTCTTTCCTCTGTTAAAACTGAGCACATTTTCCTGCATGGACTTTCCTACCTTTCAATAAATGCTCACTCCTTTGAGAACTACTGATCTCCTTTGCAAAGCCATGTGGTCAATCTCAACCTTTGTTCACATTAATTGATCCTTTCAAGGACTTTCAGGCAGCTTCTAAGGCATGACATCCCTCCAAAAGCTAAGCCAACTGTTCCATAGTATATTAATCCAGGCTTTTACTACTATCACATTTATTATTGCGTCTATCATTTTTCCAAGTCCAAACTGATCAGCACTTTTCTTGAGCTTACCAGTACCTTTCTGGAAAAGGCATCCATTACATATTAGACAGTTTTCAGTCCTCTCATGCTAACATGAGACAAGAGGACTCCAAGCAGCATTGTAGCTAATTCAGTCTTTGGTGGATGTTACCTAATTACCTTATTTTGTTGGTTTGGTCTATAAAGCTTCAAATCAGTGTTGCTTAAAGTCACACCCCCTCTTCTGATAAGCAAATGTGCAGTTCCTCAATATTACATATTTACAAGCCTGCTTTCCTCATCCCCACTTGTGTCTTTTTATATATTTTGATATTTTAAATTATATAGATACTTCTTTATCATGTGAACTCATTGTCTTTAAAAATAGCTCAGACACTGCACTCTTTCATAGATCCCTAGGTTCCCATTGTTCTGCCTAAAGAACAGAAAAATCTTAGCTGTCTTTTCCAACTTAAATTATTCTATGACTCTAAGATTTGGAAGAGCCAGAATCAAGCCCCAAAGAGGAAAAAAATTGAATGGTACTGGATAACTTTCCAATTCTTCTAAAGATCATCATGACCCCTACAAAAAAGCTCCACATCAGCTTTCTCTGAGGACAAAGTTATCACCACTCCATCTGCCTCCTCTCAGAAGAACAAATAGTATTGTAAATGCTGACAGGGCGTGATTTATAAGTTGGGGTTTTTATTCATATTCTATCCAAGTGCTAATAACACATGTATTAACACTCTCATACTTACTCAGCCAGGATTCCAGCTAAGTTACACAATTCACCTTTATCACACTTTCCTTCACCCTTCCAATAGGGAAACACAGTTTGAGCACCCCAAGCTGCAATTCAGACTAAACAATTTCAGTTCATCAGAACAACTAATAAATTATGAAAAAACAACGCCCAAGATTCCTTTAGCTTCGATCAGATAGGACTTCATTTACAACAGCAAAGCTCAACAATTCTTTACCAGAGGGCTTAAAAATACCTCAATACTATCAGCGATCCAGAATTTTTGTCCAAGTTACAGAGAATTTAAGGCATTGCCTCATCCATTTCTGAAGAGCTCCCTTTTTCTCTGCAATGTTCCTGGCTTTTGTTTTTTTCTTACAGAGATGAGTAACCTACCTGCACTGTTGAAAAAAAAAAGCAAGAAAACAAGTCAACCATCTCTTCCACCTCCATGTCTGCAAACAGGTTATTCAAATTCAGCAAACAAGTTTCATTAGAGAAGCACATTTTCTTTTTCTATAAAAGCCTACTCACTTTGCACAAGTATATAAACCTCCTAACATCATCATCATCATCCTCATCACCCCCTTGAGCTACTATCACTTATCCATATGTTCACAATGCCTTTTCCATTAAATTCTGCAGATTCATCCTTGGGTCACAGAAGTATAGAGCACTGTTTTTTTTCAGACTTTTGTCGATATGAACTTTGTATCACAGGCAACAGAATTTTGGAAAGTCTCTTAGTATTAACTTGGAAGAAGTTAATTAAGGTGTAACATCTGGAGGCAGTTTTAAGCTTTTAAACTCAATCCTCAGTCCTATTTAATTTACTGTTAATTTGGTTTCTGACACTGGATGATTCTCTCCAATCAATAAATGAACTTTCCCACTTTACCAGTCCCATCTTTCCTCATTTTGCAATCACTAGCAAGTCACAGTAATCTACTTTGTCCTTGGGTGTTAGCTGGCATTGCATTTCTCAGAGACTGGTTACCCTTCTAATATTTCTATAAAGTTACAATGTAGTCATACAAAAATACCATAAAGTTGCATAATTAATGAAGCATTAAAAATATATTTGAGCTAAGACTGAAATAAAAAAGGTGCTTTAAGTAGGTGCCAACACTACTTTCTGTGTAGGTGGGTTGCTCTTCAGATTCAAGGTACTGAACTATGAATGTACCCTTGCAAAGCAGTTAGATTTGTCCTCCTTACATCCTTTAACATCAGTCTTGTGGTTAAAAAAGTGCACCCAGAATATCCCACTGGGTACCACCACCTCTTTCAGTCCATGCAAGTGCCTAAATTCTATCGTTTTCCTTTCTCCTGTTTACAAGTAGAGGTATTTCAGCTATCATGCGTAAATACTGGAAACTATCCAAGGCACCAGAGTAATTCTGATCTATTTTAATGTTCTAGGAAAGCAATCAGTGGATGAATAGAAGCAACAGGAGAGGTGAAAAATGGAAAGATAAAATAGTGCAGCAGAGACTGATGCTTCAGTAATCAGTAAACACTTGTGTTGATTCCCAAGCCAGGTAGGACCAGTAGATCATGGCTTTCTACAAACCCTTGTAAAACTCTGTGTTGAAGGAAATCCTGATACAAGTGGATTTTGATTGATTCAATTATCTTTTGAGTATTATTTTGTTCATCTGGGCAAATCCCACCCAAGTCTTTCTGATACTATCAAAGGGCCTTTGGAAGTTCTAGGGATTCTGTCACTACTTACCACAGCACCTATCCAGCCATCCTACAGCACTCCCATTTGAAGCTGCACCTTTCTTTCCAGTGAAATTGAACTATTAGCTATTCTTTCAATGAATCCATGAATGGCTGGAATGTTTCATCGACTAACAGAGCAAGTGAATTACTCTCTCTGCCTTTCATACATGGTATATAAATGACACATTTTAATATGGAGAAAATAATTGTCGACACGCAGTAATTACATATAATTTCATATGCTCTGATATGTGCAATTTAGTGTTTTATTAAACAAATACAGTAGCTAACCAAAATCAGATAGCTGATAATGGGAAATAACATTAAAGCCTATGGTAATTATTGGTCATCTGAAACGGCATATGCTCTAAAACATAACACAGAAAATTACCTTCCTGTGAAATAAGAAATACAATAGAAATAAAGTTAAGGGACATGTTTATTTCTGAGCTTTCTGCAAGCAAAATTGCTTTGATACAAAATGAGTTCAATGATACAGTGCTACCATCCACTCAAGCAAAAGAAAACCTCACATTTACGTGAATGCACTTCATATTGATATTCTTACAGAATAATAGTTCTGATATCCAGAATGTGTCTGGCCTCATTGAAAGCAATGGCACAGAAATGCTGCAAGGTATTGGAGTATTATATTATTGGCAAGTGCTTAATTAACTTTGTGAGTTCTTTGAGAGATGCTGTATAAATAAGGGTATTGTGAATGTGTGTTTGCATTCCTTAGTAGTTTTGACGTACATCGTTTAGTGTTTGTTTAGTTAGCTCAAAATGTGTAATTGTGTCTTTTGGCTTTCAGTATTCTCTTTTTCTTTTTTAAAGAAAAATCATGAGGTATCCTTTACTGTTAACTAATGACATAGTGACAGGCCTTTTTCATTGAGGTTGCAGAGACTTACTGTACATTCAGTACACTGTACATTCGGCAATTATTTTTAGTGTACTTTCTACATGTTACTGTGTACAACTGTTAGTTTACATTAGAACTCTTCCCCTTCGCACAGGATATGGCAAAACAAAAAAGAATCTGACAAAAATTATACACATAAAATAAGAAGACAAATACACAAATAAGGCCATCTGCAGAATTAAAAATCCACCTCTTGTGATATTTCACAGTAATTTCTACATAATATTTTACATCTTATGAACTTAAATATTTAATGCAAAAGGATAAGACCTTTATGGAGCCAATCATATTATCTCTTCAAAGACTTGTCCGATTTGCTGGCTAGTGGCCTTCTCTGGGGAGTTGGAATTTTAGAAGGCTTGGCGGATCCTGGCCGAGAACCTGCTCGGGGTGTCGGCCTGCTTGTAGCAGGAACAGTCTCTGACATATCTGAGCACACAGACTGGATTTCTGAAATGTCAAAGTCAGATGCGTCACTGCCTCGGCGGCTGCTTGACCTGCTGCCAGCCTTGCTTCCTGCTCGGCTCCCAGGTCTGCTTGGAGTTCTTCTGGTTTCTAGAAAGAGAGAAGGTAACCATCAGCATTAAAGGTAAAGATGGAAAACCTGTGCAGGTCTTTCCTAGGTCCTTGGCAGCCCTCGTTGCACAGACTGAACTTTAGACCTCTGCCAGGCAAGCTAAATGATGCTGTGTCTCACACTAAAGAAAAGGAAATGCAAAATCAAATGCTGATACATAGGTAATCCATCACTAGCAAATCTCATTAAAAATGCATTATCCTGGCAGCTTTTCTTGACTTCCTAAACATGCATTGTACCTTCACTCAACATCCAGAGCCTTTCTTCTCCCTGCCATTTTCTCAGCTATTGGTTGGAAAAAAAAAATTCAGTATCTTCAAGCATGCATGATTTCCAAGCATAGGCATCTTGGAGATGCAAATGAACATCCCAATATTTAAATGTGCTACTCCTCTTTTTAAAAAAAAAAATTAAAATCCATACAGATGAAAGCTGCAAGTAAGCAAGGGCAAAGTGTATACCTTGCCTAACAAAGGGCTGAGAAGATCAGCTCTCAGCAAGTCTGCTAAGTTAAAGCCTGCCCAGACAATGTGCCATGAAGAAAAAAACACAACAAGGAATCTTAAACAGAAAACAATTAATGTGGTTTTTAATAATTTTCCAATTACTTTTTAAGTATTTTTGATCTTCACAAATCTGGTTCCCTGTATTTATGAAGAACACTGTGTTGAAAAGCACAGCTTCAATGCTTTCTATTTTCGTATACTGCTTAAAAAAATCTCTGTGGGATATTGCATTAATAAGGTAATCTACAGCTGGTCCCTGCAGTTCTTCCAAAAGAAATGGACAGGTCATGGACTAAGTGACTCCTTTGCTCCATCACAATTGAGAATAACTTGAATACTGTAAAGAACTGGATCCTTTGAGTAAATGCTTCTTCCCTAGTTCCTTGGGCAGAGATATTGGAGGTACCATTGTCAAGAAGATTACAGCCCTGAATTTCCACATCCAGAGCTGAACATGTGAATGGAGGGCCTGACTACATGCACCCTCAACAATGGGCAGACAGTACAACTTTTACTTCTTCCCACTCTTCCGACATCTCCCCTGAACCCTAATGTGACCTTAAGTATTCAGGTGGAAAACAAAGCAAATGGAAGATCAATCTCTGAAGTCAAGACACTCACCGGCAAACTGAGCTCTGACTCTGGTAGCTGCTGTTGACAGGATGCCACTGTCTTCTCCTGAGTGGAAACTCTTCCCTGATAGATACCCTGGCAGCCTGAGTTTACTTCCTTGAATTGGTGTTCCCTATGCAAACCAAAACACAACAAAAAAAATCTTTTAAAACTGAAGATAAGGACTGGTATTAGGGACTACATAGCTTAGAATATGATTGCCATAACAACATTCACTATGAATATGAAATACTGGTTTGAGCCACTACGGGCATAATTCATAATGTGAAGTTTAGAATGTTCCTTTAGCAGTTTGCATTTGAAGTAGTCCAAATGTAAATCAACAACAACAACAACAAATCGTTTTACTAGCCTGCTTAACATTTTACCATCTTTGTGTGTATTTCAATGCTATATGAAGAAAGAAAAAAGCTACCTTCTTATAATTAGTCAAGCAGGTAAGATTAGTTGATGGTACATATTGAGATTTTATGTCTGCATTGCTTGACTTTCCACCATTCTGGACGTAGTTATAGGTGATGAAAATATTTTCAGAAATCTTTTGCTAGGAGGAAAAAAAACCAAGCCAAAACAAGAAAAAACAGAAAAAAGGGCATAGGACTAATTTTAAAAGTTCCAGTTGTCAATATAATGCTTTACAGTGTCTCTACTACACAGTCTTACCCTGCCTGCTTTCTAATTTCTGAAATGAGTCTTGATTTACAATCTGCCCCAAATAAGAAAAGTTCTTTCACAGCCACAAAAATTGAATCATCAGATCTCAAAATGAATATCACTCACTAAATAAGGGGTGTATGCAAAGAAGAGGAAAAACTACCATATTCACAGTAATTAAATTAACACAAAAATACTACATAAATATTCAAAAATAAGAACAAACAGTGCAGTGATGAATGCAGTTTGTGGAGTGGCCTGGATCCCAGGATCCTGCATTCTGTGCCTTTGATCCCCATGCAATTGTAGGTAGAATTAGGTACTAAAACCAAGATCCAGAGAAGTGTGTTGGAAGGTGCCTTGAGAGAAGAACAGAGCAGAGGCCTGGCAGGGGCTTGTGTGACAGCTGCCAGTTCAGACCACTTCTGGCACTTCTAAACACAAGAGATGCTACAGAGCAATCTGCTGGCTTTGATAGGGCAGGTCACAATATTTAACTCTCGTTAAAGCCAAGTACACACAGCTAGCCATGCCCTGGGAACCTCTGCTATACAGGCACTGCTTGGGAGGGTAAGGAGACAGGGAACACTGTTACCACCTCCACTGAAGCTGCTGCACTCTGGGCAAAGCATTGGGATAGAATCACCAGTGCAAAAATAAAACTAGCCTGCTCTTCAGTTTTGCCCTAAGCCCTAAGGCAGTTTACATATAAAATGAATAACCTCTCTCTTGGGCGGTAAATGCTGCAGAATGCCTTAGAAATTCACTGAACCTACCCCACCCTAACCATTCCAGTTATAATCTTAAACAACGCTGGTTTACATAAAAGAAAATCACTGAAACTACTGGCAGTTGGAAGAGCAGATAAGAAACACAGTGCCCCCATATGAAATCAGGCCAGCTGCTTTCCTGTCATTGTAATTCAATGAAAACAACACCTTTTCATGTATATAAACCCTTTAATGTACCATCAATTAATCTTTCACTGCAGCTACCAGCTAAGAGATGAAAGAAAATACAGGAATATATTAGAAACTGACAACTGACTAAACTCTGTGCTGTTAATCATTCTAAGCCACAGCCCTGTGTGCTTGCAGTGCTGCACCCACAGGCACACCTGCAGTGTGCACAACAACACGCACAGAAGGAGGGAGGAAGAAGTTTGTTGTGCAACTTTGAGCAAAGCCATGCTGAGGTTATGGAAACTTCACACCAGAAGGTGTCACAGGAACAGCAATAGTTATCAAAGTGCAGATTTGTGGAAATCAGATACAACAGAGGGGGTGGTAGCACAAGCTTCTCCTCTCCAAGCACGCCATCCAAACCAGGGCAAGAGTAACTCCCACAAATGACACGTCAGTGTGCAGCCTGATCCAGCTGCAATCTTTTCACTGACTGTAATTACATTAGAGCAAACACTTTGGCTCCAAGCCCCTTCAAATTTTGGTCTTACAGCCTAATTGCAAGCACAATCCTAATTGCTATACTAGCAATTTCCATGTAAGTCATGCTAGTTTCCTGTTAAGTCATCAAATAGCTATCCTATTAGAGCAATGATTGGTCACTACCCCCCTAAATAAAATCTTGAGTTGTTGTAAAGATTTATGTATCACTGCCAGACTTTTGTGCCATCTTCTTCACAGTGATTGGGTATTTCTCTATTTAGTGGTTTTGCACTACAGGTCATGATTTATTAATGTCATGCCTGCAGTCCAGAAACATTGTAGTACTTCATAAATGCAAATAAAACAATTTTATGAAAGAAACCTGCAAAATATATTGGATGTTTTATTTTTTTAAGTACTTTTCCACATTTACTCAACCATTTTGTTCCATACTTTTATGATTTATTAACCATTTAACCTTTAAACATTAGCTCATTGAGGCTGTATTTTCCTAAAATTGAAAAATGTGAAAAATAGAACATTAAAAAAAACAAAATTGGGGGAAAAAAAGCAAGAGATAATTTGACAGAAGTCTAAAATAATGACAATGCATTAATATACACAGGATGCTGCAGCTCAGAAGCACTGAAACTCTAGTGGCTGTTAGTGAAGTGACAGTTCTAGTGAAGGAAGTCATTAGACTAGAATTTCTGTCCTTACTGTACCTCTGCAGATGACCCTTGATAGTCTGAGGATTCTGGTGGCTTAGAAGGAGTTGATGTTTTGCTGTTTGTCAACCATGGTTTACCATAGTTGCGTGTTAAATGATGTGGTGTCTGTATGAAACAATGGTAAATCAAAATATGAAGGACAGCAGAAGAAAACAACGTCATGGAGAAGGATACCTGGGCTTTCAAAATCTCAGTAGAAATAAAATCTAAGCAGAAAGAGTTAATGACAAATGTTGTAAAATGAAGAGATGATAGAATTCATTTTTCAAGTGAAATGAAGAGATTTGTTGATCTTTCAGAGCAGTTCCCAAACTGCCGGTCAGTTAATGTGGCCCCCTAAATGCAGAAATTCTCCTACTGCCATGTTGCAAACAGTAGAGAAAACACACTGAAAACACCCCTCAGATCCACCCCAGACTATGAAATAAAAAGGAGATACTTTTTCTCCATCAGCTAGAGAAAGCACCAATATTACTGGAGCAAGGAAAAACCCAAAAATTCAATCTGTATCCCATTTGTTAATCAGTGCAGTTTTGTACGTTTCTCCTTACCTTTGGTGTACTTGTAGTAACAGCTTGTGGAGCAGCTGCCTGGCCAGCTTGACTTGACAGAGAAGTAGATCTGTTGGGAGAAGCACCTCTTGAAGAGGGTCGTGATCTACGGCCCCTTGGTCGGAAAGCTGCCATGCTCTGACTGGCACCATCTGCCAAAATGAATTTTTCACGCAGCTCCACGTTTGTCCTCCCTTTAGCTGCAAAGAGAGGTGTTCAATGACTCAGATATGAAAGCTGTCACAAGGCTGTTTATTGCCTTTTTTGCCATGCCAAGTCCAACACATTTTAACAATAAATAAAATGCATTACTGTGTAATGCATTTATTTTGGACACAGGAGAGTTATGTGCAGGACTCACTTATTCTAATACTTTATGCCAGCAGGAATGAACCACTGTCAAAGGAAGTCAGCGTGATAATGGAATGCTCAACGTGCTAAATCACTGTTAATCAATCAACTATTAATACATAGACACAACCTGATGGGCAGTTTCGCTAATTCTACAGCTATTCATAATAAATAATACTTGCTTGGATGTTCTAGAAGAAATAGCTAAATACAAATTACAGGAAAGCAGCAAATATATTTATTCAAAACTATGAAGTTATGTAGTTTGGCAACATGCAATGATGAACATAAGACCCAAACTAGGATGAGGTAATTGGTGGCTAAGCACTCACACACACATACAAACACACATATGAGAGAATGTTCTGCATGAATAAATGCAAGACATGTTAGCATTTAACTGTGTCAGTGTGAATGACAATTGTTTTTGAAACACTCTTCAAGCGTGTCAAAAAAATTAGCTTGCAAAGCACCAGCCCATGTAGGAACATGTTAAGCTAAATATGATGGGTGAAGCATATAGTTAAAAGTATATATATATATATGTATATATTAAAAAAGCGGGAAGGAAATGAAGAGAGAGAAGAAGAGGAGGAGACAAAGAGAGGGGTTTGCCAACCTATAGTAGGCTGAGTGGTAATTGAAGAGTTTGATTCCGAACGTAACATTTTACTCCCGTGATGATGAACTAGAAAAAATGACACAGGACATGGGTCACATTAAAGAAAATCGTTAGCAGGAGAAGAAATCAAGTACAGCAGCTGCATATGCAAGAGACTTGGAGCACCAGGCCAAAAGACAGGACTTGAGCAAAAGCTGTCCCTAAGTGCTCTGAGGTCGCAAAGGTCTCCTAGGCAAAAAGGAAATGGCATTTGGACAGACTCAGCTACAGTCCCAAGTATACTTGTGTAGCAGCGGTATTTATCTGCTGACATAAAGAAGTAATACAAGCTAATGTGATTTTATATGACTAGGTGCAGTACTTTTAAAGCTGTTTATGACAACAGTTCTTTGCAATGTGATTCATCTGAATACACGAGGAGCACTTGGTGGAAATGTAAATTTGCTGGGTGAAGTGGTTTAGGAATAGCTTGAACCTGCATCACTGACTTCAACCCGACAAAGATTAGGTACCAATGCACAACGTCCAGTGATGTTGATTTTCCAGAGTATTCTTACAGGTATTCTTTAGACCCACTGTGTTGACATCTGCTCACATATACCCAAGAAAAAGTGTCCTTCTTTTGTTCCTTTCTACTTCTAGTCTTCAAAAGTGCAGAATAGTAGGAAAAAATATGCCTCAGAAGATCTGGCTTCATTGAAGGGTTAACTTGGTTAGTTCTGTTGTACCCCAAACATTTTTCTCAGGCCTATTGATAGGTAGACTGTTACAATTCATTTTTGGTTGACACTGAAAGACACAATACTTTAATATTATCCAATTAATTTATTGGAATGCCTTATTACATTCTTCAGTATTGTCTATAGTGTACTAAGAAAACAGCTCATCTGATGCAATGCCCTGGGGGGCTCAGTGATAGAGCACTCCCTGCCCCCCCAGAGCACAACGTCCTCCGGACTGGAACACTTTCCATTTGCTTTCTAGAAGGCTCAGGGCTCTATAGAGTGCTTCTGGGCAAGATGCCAAGGAAGAGACAAGGTTACAAAGGTTGAGACTGAAAGACTGGGAACAGTCACTGGCCAGAGGTTTTTGTGGTGGTGGTGGTAGTGTTACTCATCAATTCAATTGCCTTATTTTGACTTATTGTGTTGCTGAGAAGGTTTTATTGGACACTTCTGTGTGCTATTTCTGCCAAGTCATACAAGCCACTTACATGCCATAAAGTCTATCTGGGCTAAGTTCAGTTCTTACTTACACCACTATAACACTGAAGGAACTGTGCAGAAGACACCACAGTTTTTCCAGACATATGTCAGTGCAACTGAAGAGGATCTCAACCATGTGATTCAAAGTTCACAAAAATATGACATTTAGTGAGATGATGTTTACAACAACTGGCATTTTATACAACTCAATCTCCATCTTGAGACAATGAATGGTGACTGCATCCAAATAATATGCTGCAAGTCTTGAACAGTTCTGTTACATACCACGGCAAGGATCGTTTTTCACTAAGAACTCATCAAGTGCCATCCAGCCACCTCCAACACGGACCATGACCGTACTTCTTAGGATACGAACAAGGCGCAGTTGTTGAGAGTCACCAAACTGCAATAAAAATCAAATGACAGTCTGAGGTTCACAGGCATTCAGATGCAGTTCAACACCAATAGATTTAAAAAATCAGACATTTAAAAAAGTTTATTTTGATATTTAATTATTAGTAAATGCTAAAAAAATCAATTTGTTTATGCAGATTATTAAAGCTGTTAAGATTTCAAATCAGATGGCACTGCATTAATCAAAAGAAGATTGGCAGGATGGTAAGAAAGCAACTCAGGTTTGATTTTATGCTTGATTCTCAAATGTCTGAGGTCATAAAAGAAGCAAAATTAATAGTACATAATTGAATTGGTTACAGTCTGCTTTTGTGCAAATTAATGAAGACCTATTTGCATTATTTCACTAGTAAAATCTTAAGCAAACACTCTTCTGCAACAGTCTTGATTTTTAATGTTGTCAGCTGAAAGGAAGGCAGCGTCACTTCAAACAATCAGTATAATCTGGAAATTCAATGTGTTATGAGTGTTGCACAGTTCTATCAATTGATTCATCTATGGGAATATTTTCAGGTACAGCACTACAGTGCTGACACGGCTTACCTACAGCAAGGTGCATGTGGGGAAGGGAACATTAAAGAAGCAATGAATGATTAATAACTATCATTATGTTTGTCATTCCTCTGTCTACACATCAAGGTTCTTCATGATTTAGGGATGCACAGTAATCTGTTTCATACTAAGCTCCTGTATGAGTCCATTGTTCCTTTGGGCTGATGGCTAGACCTAATGCATATTTTGCATTCTTGAAACCTGTGTAACAAAACTTGTACGCAGTACCTTCACTCCAATTCGGATCAAAGACAGCATGACTAAAATGTGGACCTCACAATCTCAAGGAAAATAACCAGAAGAATTCAGTACTTTTGAGCCAGCACTACTAAAAAATTTTGATACCAGATCACCAGACAAAGTGCAGTGCACCCTCACAGAAGCATGCAGAGCACTCAGTAAAACCAATGGGAGCTGAATGCCCCTCTTTGGGACAATCTCTGACCCCTGCAGAAGGCTGGCCATAATTCAACTGTACCTACTTGCTCCAGTGAGGGAACTGAACAAGCCACACAAACGTGATCCCTACTTGTTAGATGATTTTAGTTGTTTGGTACTATTCAAGCCAAGAAGAGAGAATAAGTTTAAAGGAATATTACTTTTAGGAACCAAACAAAAGCAAAGCTTGCTTCTAAATTCAATAATAAATTGTACTTGTTATAAGTAAGAACATTCACAAGCATTATTTGTAAGAGATTTTTAATAATGCATTCAATATGTGCCAAACAGAGAACCATTTTATATATGTAGATCAAAGCTTTTTTTTAAGGCATCCAAATTAATGCTGTTTATTTTTATTGGCTTGCTCCTACCAAAATTTTTTCTAGTGATTCTGAAGATAGAATCTTTCTCCTTTTCTTTATTTTTTTTCCCCATCACAGCCTAATCAATCAGTTAGACCCCATCAGGCAACTACACCAAGGGTCAAATACAGTGTGCTTTGGAAACTGCCCACCTAGCTGAGGTTGATTCAGAAGTGGGGCTGGCAAGTAACACAGTAATGCAATAGTATCTATCTATTACTGCATTTCTTCTCATGGTAACTCTGTTGATTTCCTTCCTAAAATAGCCTGGATACTAACTTTCTTTAAACATTATTTCAAATAATCAAAGGTAAAAACATAAAGGAGTTTAAGCTACAAAAAGGCCTGTTCTTGACAACAGCCCGTAGATGCCATTTTGCATCAGTAAGAGTTTCTCAAGAAATGCTCTATGTTTCCCAGATCTGAGAGTACAGATGACAGATAAGAGGATTAACATAATTTCAAACAGTTCTTTCAAAAAGAGACTTGTTCTATATGTGGAAAATATTTTAAATTATTGCTTAGATATATTGCTTGAGGCACATGGCAAGATTATCCACTGCTCTATGCTTTCTTCTTTAGCTCAACGGGCTCTGCTAGTAAACAAGAGTGCACCCACACTTTCTACATCTTAAGATTTAAAATGGCTACTGGTGTTGATGCTAGCCTTTCCAGAATGGATTACATCCCTTACTGCCTTTTTAAAAGCATTGGATTGACAGTATCTGATACCTGGTTCGCATAAGGTGTTTCCATTCTTACTGGGCAGATAGATATGATTTAGCACTTCAGGAAGCTGAATATCAGTGTGCAGCACAGGAGTAAGCAATGGGTAGTGTTTCCTCCTGAGGAGGACTCACCAGCTGACACAAAGGATTCTTAAACACAGCTCCAGTACATCATAGACTTGCCATAGCTCCTTGAAAACACTTTGGGGGAGTGATGGGAAACACTAAATGGGAACAGCAATTTTGCCTACTTCCAAAATAAATATTTAAAGATTCACTGTATTAGTACATAAAATAATTAACTATATCTAGGTTCTTAATCAGTCTGCTTGATTGCTTAGAGAGTATACCTTTTTCTTGCAAAGATGAAAGTATTTTTTGTGCAATTTGCAGTAAGTAAGTGCTAAGACACTGGGATCTGTTTGCCATGATTAGCCTTTAATTAAATAGTCTAAAAAAGACATCACAGAATTTTGAAGGATTCAACTATAAAACTGATTAGATAATCGTAATCTCTATAATTGCAGTCTAAATGATCAAGATTTTTCGCTATAGGAATTGCTGCTGACCATTATCTGGTTCCTTTAAAAGTAATCTCCTTAATGAGGAAAATGACCAAAGAAAGCAGGTGAGGGATTGTAGACGAGGGACCCTGAGACAAGGAATGCTCCATAGCATTTAAAGAAATACCACAGCTGACCAGCAATGAATTAGCTGAAAATTAAAGGATGGCAAGAAGATTGACCACTGCAAGCTTAAATCAATATGCGTTAGGAAAAAAAAAATAAAGAGAAAGGAGAAAAAAAAAGGAAAAAAAAAAAACTTCATAACACATTCCACTGGTTTATACCTGATTTCCCAGGAAGAACTGATAAGAAATGAAAAATGGAAGAAAGACACGATTAGTTTACAGGAAATTCTCTACATGACCTAGAAACATGCAAACTAACACATTAGACATTCTAAATAAAGTATCTACTTGAGAGATGAGCAGGTAGTTAGCCATCCAAGACTGAATATTGGAAAATATTCAAGGCTTTCATTTCCTTCCCATTGCTGTTTCTGTGGTCTTTTAAAATCTACAAGTACTTAGTAATCTCTCTTAGCCAAATATTGCATTTTACCTCAAATTGTTCTGGTTATTGAATCCAGGGGTAGCAGATCTTTCTCTACTGTGTGATATTTATTTTTCTGTGATTCTGGAGGTATCTAATGCTATCTAATCTAAAATGGCAAAATAATGCAAAAATGATTGAAGACACTTTGGTAAAAGATTTTTGAAGTACAACACAATACCACAAGAAAATGTGAGTCACTGTTTTTGTGAAACTGATAGAAAATCAGCTACAGTTTAAGCACTTAAGGTATCCTGGCAGAAAGACCAGCTTGTGAGGATATACTGTGTGTATGCATGCATATGTACAGATGTGTGCAGCTAGCTCTTAAAAATTCCTATGACTGAAAATAGCTTCAGTAGTTTAAGTGAAAATAAATACAAACATCAGCAATTTTCCGTATTTTTAGTCTATATGTTCTAACAAGAAAAAAAATTTAGACAATCTTAAAGAAAATGCATAATTGTCATCGAGACAAAGGACGAGATCCTTGTGAATTCACATAGCCTAATTCCTTGTGTAAACCATGTCTTATGAAGAAAGCTGAAAGAACTGAGGTCCTTAAAAGACTTACCCTATACTTGTTATCCCCAATCTGTTCCACTTGAAACCGTTTTGCACATTTACATTTCGCTACCTGCCTTGTAACCTGCAAAAAACCACAACAGGATAATTACTTTAAATATCACATTTCTGAAGATTTGTGTACCTAGTAAACTTCAGATCAAATAGGAGTGAAAATAAAGTGAATTGTTACAGAATGTGACTCCAGTAGAACAGAATGCAACCTAAGAAAGCAGAGAACATACCTCATCTTCAATTTTGTCAGCATCTGTGAGAGGCTTGTATGCATCCTTGTTTGGATGAAGAGCTGCTACAAATTCATAGTAGTCAATATATCCATCACCATCTCTATCAAAAATGTCTGCAACAGCACTCATCTCAAGTCGGCTTGTAGGGAACTCTGCAGGACAAAGACAACAAAACACATGTTTTCACTTTTCATTCCCATTACCATGAGAGGCTTTATCATAAATATTAGAAGGCACTATCTGGTGACAGATAGTGCTTATAAAAAAATAAGGACATTCAAACAAGTGAAGGAGTATTTCTTAAAAAACTCAATCTGAATCTCCAGTGTCACCCAGATATTGGATTAAAATGGCTACCACAGTGTGGCTTGAAGACAGAGACAAAAGCAAGGGCACAGATTAAACTGAAAAATATTTTGAGGAGAGGATGTTAACATTTTGACCTTCAAAGTGCATAAAATACCAGAAATGAACGAGATAAAAAGTTAGTAAGGAAAGGTCAATCAAGCATTTCTGTGCTGATTAAATCTGGAATGCAAAGTCTTCTCAATGCAGATCCATGCATGGTGTTTCATTGAGTCCTTCTTTAGATCAAGTTCACAGCAGCACAGTATTAACCCACACAGAGGTTCTCAATTAAATGGTCAAAGAAAATTTCAAGGTGATGAACAGGGATTATATCAGGAGTGTTTGGTGCTCATAAAAAATCGATACCAACTGAGTTAAAAGAGTGAACTATTTAACCTCTTGGTGGTATTAGGCTTTTTGATTAATTTTTAACAATTCAAGCAAAACAGCAATATTCACATATAGTGATGTACAGCAATATTCACATATAGTGATGTTTTGCTGGATTTCCAAAAGCAGGGGGAAACATACAGAGTACAGTATTTTCCTACTAAAATGAAATGCTAGAAGCAGCCCAATTCCAAACAAATCCTCACTGTTCAAAGCAAAAGTCTCCATGATGTGAAGATAAAGGATTATTTTAAGTATTAGGTCCTTATCTGTTATGAGCCTATTCCTAAAAGGAAATATGATCACATATATGATGTGGAAGACTTACATTACCACCATACCTAAGGAATACCGATACCAGGGAATACCAGGGAAGCTAGGAAAATTCCTTTCTACTTTGATTGCTTGGAATTTTAAGCCTTATATAGGTATATGAATATTGTCATGGCTCATGAAAATGCTGGTTTCAAAAATTACACAGTTTCCTTCTATAATTGAAACTATTCCATATAAGTTCTTTAATTAAAATCCTATGATCTGATTTTGAAAACCATCTATGTTACATAAGGTACTTTTTACTATTATGAGTATTCAATCAAAAAGTAATTGTTGCAGTAGTGTTGTATTACAGGAATTACAATCTGAATTCAGTAAACCAGCAAACTACTAACTGGACAATAATATAAATGTGACATTTGTAACCTGATTTGCAATATAAAATAACTAGAAAGAGTTTCTAGAATCTAGAAATATTTTCAAGTAAAATAATGATAAAGTAATAATAATTAATTAATTCAAAAAGGAAATCTGTTACCTTCTAACACAATAAAATCATGGGTCACACTATCTAGACAGTAAGACCTCATGAATGTTTGTTCCGAGTCCAACATTATGTTAATTTTAAAACTTACTTGAAGAAAGAATTCCATCGATAAATTCCTGTCTTGTAATCTTTCCATCCTGATCTTTATCAATCCTCCTAAAGAAATCCATCACACGAGACTTCTTATGGTTCATCCATCGCATGTATTTTTTCCTCCAAATATCAAAATCGAAGTTGGCAAATTCTCTCAGCTTAATAAAAAACAGAAAGAACTTTTTTCAGTTGAACTCCATCAATCTCGAACATCAATGAGCTAGATACCATCTGCATTTTGTTGAATAATTGATTCTTTGAGGACCTATGCAAGCATTTTAAGTATCTCAACTCTCCTCATTAAAAATGACGATGACAGCTTTTAAAGCACATTAAAGCATGTGTATCACAGTGTTTTCAGCCAGCTGTGTCATACAATGTAATACAACAAATATGGAAGTTGTTCACAGTATTGGAATTTAATCCAATAAAGAAAATTATGCAAAAGTATATATATAGATATATGTATAGATATATATATATATATTCCGTGCAGTGCTTTTCTGACCTCTTCAAGTCTGTCCAAAGCATCGTTAAGTTTTCTCCTTCTTTCCAAGGCCAGAAGCCAAACTTGTTGCCACTTGCTGACTAAAAGGTTTACCCGTGGATTCTTGGTTTCAATTTGTGCCTGGGCTGCTGACGGATAAATGCCTGGTGTTGGGGAACGCTTTCCTGTTAAAACATGATAAAATGCATAGGGCTCACCCAGTTCAAACAAAACAAACATTCACATGAAATGCACTTGACCTTCCTAAAATTATTCCTTCCTGTCCCAAATAAGGAGGTCCTACCCCAAGATGATTCCATATAGTGGGATGTTTTTTCCTTGTTTTTTACTATTGCTGGGGAACAACCCAGTAGTGGCTACAGCCTCTTATCTAGCCAGAAGCAGTTGGTGAGGGCTCCACTAGTCAGAAGCCGCTGGTGAGGGCTCCACTAGTCAAGCTGCACAGTTTAAATTAAATCTTCATTAATCTCTCAGAGTTGCAAAGCAAACAACCTCATTTTAGAAGCAGGTTCCGTGTATGGGTAAGTATAAAATACAATGGGTAAGTATATCTAAAATTACAAAAAGCAATTTCCTCACTTGATGATTCACTTTCCATTCAGCTTCACTGAATACACTTCTAACTGGATTAATATAATTTTATAGACAGTAAGAGCATAATTTTGTCTCTATATCTCTCTGTGAAGTTGTCTGTACTTTCAGATAATGGAAGATTTGCAAAGACTCAGTATGTACTTGTTCTTGGAAGTTTAAGGGCACAGGAAAGGCTGCACACTTTAAATAGCTATTCATGAAGATTAGGATAAAATGCAAAAAATGTCTGCTCTGAGAAATTTCCCCACAATTTATAAAAAATGAGAGATCATTAGGAAAGATAGCCAAGAGAATTTTACTCTCTTTCACCAGAAATTAATCAACTCTATTAGATTATTAGCAATCAGTAAATTTTACAGATAGAGAAATGGTATGTGCGACACACCCCAAAATACGCTGTTACTTACTTCCTGCTCTCCCCTTATCAAGGACAGGAATATGAGATTGTACTGGAGAGGGTTCAAGTGCTTTCCTTTTATAGGTCTTTGTAACTTTATCGACATCAGGCTGTTTTCTGGTCATTTCTTCCATGAATGTCTGCAATCAGATAGAGGGGATCTTAACTAACAATACACAAAAGTAACCAGAGGAATGAAAAACATACACAATAGCAAAACATTAAAGTTAAAAAGAAATGCACAGAAAGACACCTACAATGCCAGACTCACAGTATAGACATAGATAAATGTTTTGTAGATAAGAAAAATCAGCAGTATAAGCTTTTTAGATCACTATGGCCTGGCTGCTAAAAGAAGGCTAAATCTAAAAACCAGTATGTCAAACTCCTTTATTAACTGTATATGGTGAGGTGATATAGAACAGAATTTTGCCTCCTGCTGTTCAAACTGCAGTTCACAGAAGTGGGGCAGCTCTGGTGTGTAAGCTGGGGTAAGTCTAGGAGCATTCACTACACCAGCAGCTCCCTCTGGCACTTTATAAACCTAGTTTTGATATTTAATCAGTAAAGCCAGACTGCAGCACTAGATCTAAGGTGGCAGCACTATCACACAGTTCCTGTGGGTTTTCTTTTATTCCTAGTATTATTCTTGCTTGTATTCAATTATTACAAGGAAAAACAGCAAAGGAGATTCGCACTTGGTCCTCGCTGAGATGTGACCCCATGTGAGTGACACAAGCCACTCAATAATCCTTACCTGATGTTCGGCTATAAGCGCTTTAACTTCCTCAATCTCCTGGGGGATCACCTCTTTATCTTTTTCAGTTAGTGTAGTCTCTGCCCACTGCAACCAGGACAGCAAGGCTTCCAGCAGCTCCTGGTTAGCAATAAGTCCAGCCAAAGCTCCTGCCAGTCTCTGTTGATGCTGTTTAGCCCATGCTAAGACCTTGACAAAGGAACCGATACATGAGTATGTGCACATCTGAAACTCTTCATAATGCATTTAAAATTTCTCTACTTACTGTAAACCCAGAGCTACTTCTTAGGCCTACTGATATTTGAATATCAAAGGTGTTACATGTAGTGGCCGATCACTAAAGGTAGCTAGGTAACTAGAATGTCTAGTCCAACACATTTCTTCCAGATATTCAGGATTAGGTGCTGCTAAACAGTAACTATCACATTCAGGCAACATATTAAATAATTTAACTACAAGTGTGCTTTAGTGAATCACACAAGATTTGATGTCAGTTTTATTCCTGAGCACTCCTGAAGCCGTATTTTGCTATCATTTGCTATATTTTGTTTTTCTTTAAGCTTAATATAAAACAGAAAATGCCACCTTAACAGCTGAGGGTACAACCTACCTGTAGCCACTTAAATAATTTAGATATCTTCTAGATTAAGAGTATGTTGGACTGAAATCCTGTCTAATGTAATCAGAAAATCCTTCACATTTGCCCTGTTATTTTCTTTCCTTTGTAACTTTTCAATTTCACCCTAGAAACTATTGGTTTTCCTCACTTGGGAAGTGTCAGACAGTATTTCCTTTAATACATACAAACAAAGAAGCTTGACCATCTGCTTTAGCTCTTAAAGCCCTGTACGTTTTGAAAGCAAGCCTAGGGAAGCACCATATTCACATCCATCACCACGGGTATTTTAAATGTTTAGTTCTCAACAGCTGGATCATTTCCTCACAGTGTAACTACCATGTTAGCTGTCAGCTATGTTCTAATTGAAGATGGACTGCTGCAACAAAGATGGTTCAACATACACTGACCTCTTCAAACCTGGCTCTGATGATTGTTATCCAGTGCTTAATGGTGGTGATGGAGTCAGGGTGGCAGATAGCCAGAATAGCTTCTCCCATATCTGTTGCTTTATTCAGTTCTGCCTTTTTCTCTTCCAGTTTCTTCATAAATTCCTAAAATAGAGGTAATATAATATAACAATATTATATATAGAATAAAATTTTAATTAGATGCTGACAATATTTGCAAGAGAAATCTGAGTGCATAATCTGGAAGGCTATGAGCCTCTTGACTGCTCAAGCAGATTCAACTTGCAAGAGGCAAATTTCACTTGTATGACAAAACTTTAAAATGTTTAAAAAGCCTATTCCACATAAAATACTAAACAAAGCTCTAACATCTTATCCCAACTTGCTACTCCTTAAAAGCCCACCACACTCTAAATCCTTGTAAGATGCATGCCCTTAATAAAAAACAAAAAACAAAACAAAACAAAACAAAACAACAAAAAAAAAAAACAAAACAAAACAAAACAAAACAAAACAAAAAAAACCCCAAACCCCCAGCATTTAGAAGTGCTTTAAACCAGCTATATGATGGTTGGAATCGCTATGTGCAACATTTCAATGACTTTTAGTTTGTCAGTTACAGTAATTCTTCATAATAAACTATCAAGCTCCTACCAGAGGCTGGAAATGTCCAGCTATAATTGCATGCTCAGACAAGATGACAGAGTTCAGGAGCAGCTATACTAAACTAACACAAATGTGACAACTCAGCAGCTGAGGGGGAGAGGCACAGCATGTGGGAAAAATCTCGTAAAAGCAAAAGGAAGTTTACAGCTTTAGGCATCCAAGCTCATAGTTATTGGTGTTCCTGTGATAGCAGGACCAGAAATGGATGTGAGGGACAAACAACAGTAAGAAAAAGCAACTGAAAGGAGGACTTTTCCCACCCCTTCTATAGCTTGCATTTCTTTATTTCTTTTCTTTTTTTTTCTTTTCCCCTTTCCTTTTTATTTTTGGTTAATCATTACTATTACAATGGTTTTACTTTTATGCCTAAATGTTATGCAACTCTGTGTGTCTCTGTGAGCATCCTTAACTGGAACTGCTAATATCTCTCAGTGCTTTTATACTTTAAGATTTTTAATGAGGCTACAAAATAGAACTAAATCTCTGAAATCTTAACTCTTCCTCTCTCTGGCCATAAATCCATTTATTTTGGATTAAAGATGAAATTAAAGATGAGCCAATTCAGATCCTAGACAATTCAAAATCACCAAAACATTGTAAAAATAGGTTCTTCAACAATTCATAATGATATTATCCTGTGTCTTTACAAAGTATGAAGTTATTATGAAATAAAATGTAAAAGGCATAATCTCTTCTACGTAGTTCTAGAACCCCAGAATATGAAGGCTCTGTTTAAATGTATTTGTTGCTAACTGATTTTAAGTTTTAATTATTATCAGAGTTTACAACCCAAATCATAATAGCAAACCTTCTCTCACAAAAATGCATGCATCCTTACAATACTTCAGTTCAACATGGTTTTGGAAAGGCTGAATTGGATTATAATAAGAGATTACCAAAACAAAACAAAGACAGGTGGGAAATGGGCAAAAAACCCCCACTGTGTTCCCCTGCTCAGCTGTACCAGAGTATTCCAAGAATTAAATCTGTGATGCACAACTCACAGTGTATTAAACTGTCCCTAATTGTATTGAACTCCGGGGCAAACTGGTGAAACAGACACATTTACAGAAGAGGAAATGGGATGCTTTCATTGAGCAATGCAGTGCATTAACCCACTACAGCTCTTAGTCCCTAGAGAGGTGGAGAAGGGACAGATATCTCTCTGACTCAGATAGCAGCATTCACCAAATCATGTGCAGTATTCAACAGAAAAATCAGAAACGGGCATAAAGATGGGCCATTTGGATAAAATATTGCCCTGAAGAAAACATTTCTACATGTAATTGAATAAAAATGAAATAAAACTATTTTACAAAAATCACAGTGACAAAAGGATGATAGATTTCATATTTATGTAATAATTTCAGTCATACATTTTCAGTCTAGTATGCAATATTATAATGCATACATGGTATTTAAAAGTAATATATATTACTTCTTCCCTTATTTTCTTTTTGTCTTCCTGAAAGCTAATGTTAAAAGTTTAAACTGAGAGATGATCTATTCGAGAAAGATTGTGTGAGTGGTAAAACTGTAGTGCCATAATCTTTCTTAGCTGGACAATTCCTCTATTTCTATTGTTTGCCCTTTAAAAGTAAAACGTGGTTGGGAGAACACCTTCTAAAGCCTACTAAAAAATTTAAGTACAGTATGGCCACATCTAACACTGAGATTGGTTGTGTTGTGCTAGTTATCATCCTTCCCAGCTGGACAGGGTTTCTCAGAGACAAACTGCTTTGGGAATCCAAGTTATGCTTCAGCTTTGGCAGCACAGATTTTGAACTTAGTACAGAAATATTTTGCTAATCCATCTACAGTGTGGAGGAAGACATTTGAAATTCTATTTTCTAATTATTTCAGTGGACCTAAGATTTCACCCAGTTCTCTTCTCTGTATTCAGAAGATTTAAAAATCAAATAAAAGGGAACTGGTGAAGCACATGTGGAAGAAAAGCAGCTAAAAGACATTTCATTGAACAAAGCCATTAGGTTGCTGCTGCCCACATTAATCAACACACTGTGAGGCTGCTACACCAGCACATGCTAATATATACACACATTTGATGCAGAGATACATTTGCCAACTTATAACTAGCATTCAGTTTCCAGGGCCCTGAATTAAAACTGAAAACTTTTTCAAAACATTACATTTTTAGGACATTGAAAATCCCTCAGTTAAGAACCACTTAATAATCCTATCTTGCATGCTGTCCTTTCCATAATAATATTAGCAAATTCAATTTAAATAGGATGATTTTCCAATCTCCATTTTGTAAACTTTGCTTTAATTTCATAGCATTTCTTCATAGCAATGATTAACATATTCAGGGCTTATAGTTTGGTCTATAACACTGTGGACACTACACCCCTGGTACTATTTTGTGTAGGCTGAGCTATGTATGTTTGTAGCCTCCTGTTTGGAGAGTGAAAATTTTACCTCTATGATCCTTACTTGCCAATTTCCCATTTCATTATTGCACAGTTAGTTTGATGGCCTATAATTTACTACCTGCAGTAGCTATGCCACTGCAATATTACAGCGGCCAATGCATGTGAAGTATGACAGCACGCTGTCACCATGACAAAAGGTTCATGGATGATAACCTCATTCTGCTGACATTTACAAATGACCTTGCAAGAAACGTTTATGCCACTTATGTCCATGATGCTAAGGAGACAGATACAGTTATGCTCCTGTAGCAGTCAGTGTGGTAATTACTGGCATGGTATATTCCACAGAGGGGCTTGCATCTGTCTTCACACGTTTACAGCAACTTTCTAAAGGCCCGTTTTTTCTTAAATAAGCCAAGATGACTCAAACAACCTAACACCAGTCTGGACATCAAACTCTTAACTATATTAAATTTTTAGCTTCTCTACAGAGAGAATTGCCCCAACACTGGATGTTGGATAGGGACAGACTCTCCACCTATGAGAGCAATTAGAACGAAGAGGATCCTCTTAATTTTCTTGCTTACCCTGTGCTGCTCTATCAGTGTTCGCAGGGCCTCTTCATCATCTGGAAGGATGCCGTGGAAACGAAGAGTCTGCTCTGCCTCTGCCAGCCATTCCAAAAGGACATGGACAACTGAGTGGAATTCTTCTGCCTGTTAAGATACAAGAAGTCATGGTCACTCATGAGGTGACCTGACACACTGCAGCTTACACAGGGAGATTGAGCCCACATTTGGAATCATTAATCATCCAGCAGTACCGGCACATTATCTTTCCATTAAAAAGTCAGTGATACACAGCACTGTATTTTCATAACTGTAGAAACAGCTCATGCTTCCCAAAAAATTATAGGAAGCCTAAAAGCTGTTCATGCTTTTAACCATCTGATTTATAGTGTATTTGCAGCTCAGTGGAGAATGTCATGCCTTTTTACACTGACAAATTACACAGGAGGTGCTTTCAGGGACCAGCTGGAGAGATGAGAACTATTGTCTGCACAGCCCAAACCACCAGTTAAGCAAAATGAATCAACAGCCTGTTGGAGAGTGACTCTTTTGTGTTTAGAGAAAACAAGAAAGATTCACTTTGGGTACAGACACATTCAGACACAATTAGTGTTTGAGGTAAGTTCAGGCTTGTGTCTGCTAAGCAAAGCAGAGCAGGAATGTTGTACATAGTGGATACATTGCTACTGCAGGAGCCTCATCCTAGCATCAGTCCAAGCTAGTATATCTTCAGAGAGCTGTATATCCATATTATCTCAGGTTTGGAAACAATACAGACACATGTATTTATTTGGATTGGTACCAGATAATGCTGACATACATAGACTGTTCTAGGTCGTGACTGCACTCAGCACAACTCTATTTTTCCTCTGAAGTACCTCACTGCGCATTGTTACTGTGCCAATGTAAAAAATTTTTAAATACACAAATTTACTTCTTTACAATAAGGCACAAAAAGCATAATTATGATTGCAATCTCCTGCTACTTGTGAATGGGGCACAGCTCTTTATCATCTTCATATTTGACTGTAACTTCAGAGATTTCCTTAGATGGTAAGGTCTTTGAAACATTTGTTTTGAGTTTGTGGCAGAGACTAATAATAACAAGAATAATAAATGCTAAGAGGCACTATTTATGTGCTGTGGAAAAAGGATAGAGAAGGTAAGCAATGCATTAGCAAGTAAATGAGTATTTTCAAACGAAATTGGAGTGAATGACATCAAGTGAAAATGAAATTAAATTTTTGGCAACTAAACTGCAAGATACTTTTTCACTGCCTCTAATGCAAAACATGTAGCAACATTATTATTCCTCTACCTGCCGAAGGGCCTGTTCCAGTCGTGTTTGTTTGGATACTGACAAGGCACAAACTGTCTCCCAGCGAGTGCTTAGCTCCTGCATTTGGACTTTGACCCAGGAAGAGTCATCACGACTGCCTTCTATCAGCTCCCTTGCAGAGCGCTTCAGAGCCTGGACACTGCTCGTTCTTTTTCCCAGCTCCTTCTGGAAAACCTAGACACCATCAAATATATTTGAAATGTTTAGCTCATTAAGACATGGTTAGGTAAAAAAAAAACAAGAAAAAAGCTACTGGTTATGGAAAGAAATGAAAATGTGGATATATTTCTGTCAAGAGTAACTCCATTTAAGTGATGTAAAGCACTTAAGTTATATTTATTAGATTCTGTAGGAAGATATTAATACTCTCTTCTAACATAATAAAACTGGAATATGGTAGGAAAATGTCAGGCAGATCCCAAGAATCCATTCTGGTGCAATGCATGGGAAATCTAGTCTCCTTACCACTGCTGGCTTTCCATTCTTTATCAAAGCAATTGATCTGACACGGATCAACACATAAGATTGCTGTGGCAGGAAAAGATGAGATAAAAACCTAACAATCAAGGAGAGGGTTTAAAATCATCCAAACAGAAATAAATCCCCATCTGGGGGTCTAACTGTAAGGTTGTGGATCTTGATGATTGTTCATATATTTATGTGGGAGTATGTTCACATTAGTAGATTGAACAAGCTCCAGTTACTTAAAAGAAGCTCTTAAAAGAAGATAATTACAGTGTGCCATGCCACTGACTGCAACTTGTGATGGACAGTGGGATTTCAGAAGCAATTGAAGCATAGTGCAGGCTAATTTTTACTGACGACCCATGTTTCCAAAGACTTTTTTTTGAGGCCCAAAATCTCTTCCTCGGTAGAGATGAGATAATGAAAGTCACAGGTGGATGAACAGAAGGACCTTCACCTCCTAATCTGCCCAGGCTGCAGAGCTCTGCCTATGTGTCACCTTTGCAATACAAGTAATTTCAGCAGCCATTTCTTCTGACATACCGAATTGCAAAACTGGGATTCAGAGGCAGAGTCCAACATCTCCTACTTGTTCCCACACCAAAAACCACTTCAGTAACAAAATATTGCAGGTTTCCACCTCAAGCTACCTGGGCCATGGTCTAGTTGAAATCTATGCATAACTTTAGCATTGTAATTACTTTCCTCGATAAATATACAGCAGCCCCACAGGTTTGAAAGGCTGCTGTAGTCGTGATAAGTGCACATTTAGTTAGCAGATGGACAAAAAAAGAGCTTTCTGCCCCAGAGTTTTCCAGTAAAATAATTTTTGTCATTTCTTGCCCCTAGACACACATTTACAAATGCATATTTGTGATTTGATACGATATTAATAAATACACAGGGTAGCACAATAAAATAGAGTATCTCAGTGCTGACTGATATTAATGAGTCACTAAGAGTTGTCCTCTTTCACGCATGTTTTATAGCATTTTCTATTGTTGACTATGTTTGTGTTACAAAACTATTTCATATTTCTAAAAATTACAGAATAGTGAAAGATAAAGATATTATTAAAATATTACACTTATGAGTGGTGCAGTATTTTTGGAACTAATTAAAAGCCAGTATTTTTGGAACTACCTTGTGGTTGTCAATCAGGTTCATTACTAAATCGATGTCTCCATGTACTGGTTGGTCTTCTGCTAGTTGAGGTTCAATTTTGTATAACCAGTCAATAAGAGCTTGCAGAGCATCAGTAAACTGTCCCGAAAACAGCAGGGCTTCCTCCAGTTTATTTTGTCTGAGAGGAGAAATAAAGCCAAACAACCACACAGTCACAAAACGATTACTTATACACTTCAGGAAAATATTTTTCAGCATAAAATAATAGAATCATGGAAATGTTAAACTTGGAAAAGTCTGATAAGATCATTGAGTCCAACCACTATCCCACCACCACATCACGTCCCCAAGTGCTACATCCACATGCCTTTTGAACACTTCCAGGGATGATGACTCAACTACTTCCTTGGGCAGTCTGTTTCAAAAATAACCCTTTCAGAGAATAAGTTTTTCCTAAAATCCAACCTAAACCTCACTTGGTGCAATTGAAGGGAGTTTCCTCTCATGCTGTCATTTGTTGCCTGGGAGAAGAGACCAATCTCACTTGGCTACAGCTCCTTTCAGGCACTTGTAGAGAGTGATGAGGTCTCCCCTGAGTCTCCTTTTCTCCAGGCTGAACACCCCCAGCTCCCTCAGCTGCTCCTCACAGGACTTGTGTTCCAGATCCTTCCCCAGCTCCATTGCCCTTCCCTGGACTCGCTCCAGCCCCTCAGTGTCTTTCTCACAGTGAGGGCCCAGAACTGGACACAGCACTCGAGCTGTGGCCTCAGCAGTGCTGAGTACAGGGGGACAATCCCTGCCCTGCTCCTGCTGGCCACACTATTGCTGACACAGGCCAGGGTGCCATTGGCCTTCTTGGTTACCACCTGGGCATACTCTGGCTCATGTTCAGCTGGTTGTTGACCAATACCTCCTGAGAACTTCAAGTCAAGTTTCCCTTTTTAAAGGGCTTTTCCTTCCACTTATTCCCCTGCTCTTCTACCACACCATTAGGAAAGTATGCATTTGCAGTATTTTCCTGTTTTGGCACTCCTAATTATCAAACTAGCCATTCTGGTTCTACTTTTACACAACAAATTCTAAAAACAGAAGCCTTTTTCTTATTTGATGAGTAATTAGTTGAGTTTCATTTACCTTTCCACTGACTTTCCACAAATTGTATCCCATTTATCTCTTAGTTCACTCAGCATGTCATCAAGTTTCAAATTGTCATCAGCCAAGGTGGTTTTCTCTTTCAAGGAACGTCCAGTCCTATTTGTGGTATCATACACAGAATGTTTGGCACCAAGAGATTTCTGGAATTCCTATATGTATGGGAAAAAAAAGAAAATATCCATATATCATTAACTGCTTACAAGCCATTGTTAATTAGTTTTGGGCATACTATTTGCAATATAAATTGTAAATGTTGCTGCAAGAATAATTCAAATTTACTGCAAAATTTCTGTGCTAGTGCCACAGTGCACCTGGGGCTTGACACTAGCAGACCCCTGCCTTTTGTCCTTCCCTGGAAATGTAGCTCTATGCTCACTGGAACAACTTTGGGAAAATCCCTCCTTCAGTGAGGGCAGTGATTCCTGTCCTACCATAATATTCCCAAATTTCGGCCTAGCAGTCAGAAAGATGTGAAAGAACTGCTACTTAGGGAGCAATTAACTCAGCATTCTTTGCACTACATTCTTACAAACTAAGATTTCAAGCCAGCTGTAGAGCTCCCCAAGAGCTACAAAGGTTATCCTGATTTAGTTTAACATGGACAAGGTGGGAAACCACTGAGCAGAAGCAGCAGTCAGGTAACATCCCAATAAGTCAATCTGTGCTAGAAGGGAAAATCACAAGCAGCTTTCTGTGCCCCAGAACTTTGGACAATGGCAGTGTCAGAGTCTGCCTGACAGCTCTGCCAGCTCCTTTTGCACAGATCCTCTGGAAACACAGTTCATCTGATACTACATAGGAATTAACTGACTGAGTAAATAATTAAATAAAGGAACACTGCCAAAAGACAGCACCAGTCCAAGAAGGCAGCTTTTAAATTGCAGCAATGCTTAAAATGTTTTATTTGACACCTACGTGAACTGCTAGCAAGGAATCAGTTAAAAAAAACCACCACAAGTTTGTTTTAGAACACCCTTACATACAGCATCAAGTAATTTTTTTAGCTAGCAAAAAAGCAACATTTATTTTGCAATTTAGTGTTTCCTTACTATTCTTTCATTTTCCTCACATGAAACAAGAAAACAAACTTTAAGAAATAATGTAATTGTCAAGCTAGAACTACAATAAAAATAAATATAATTTTCAAATTAACCAGTTTTTTATACCAGTTCCTTCAATGCAAACAATATGTCTACGCTCCTTTTATTTGATGGGTTTTGTTAACTAGGTAACACTACACAACGTTACTAGTTTTGCACAAGGAAATACAATTAAATTGCTGCCACAGAAAGATCATACAGATTTAAAGATGGCAAAGAGTTGTAGTTAGTTCATTCCCTGAGAATAAACCTTATCTACTTCCATTTGACTTCAGGTATAAGAGATTTTGAGAGTAGATTTTGGGTTAAGCTGCCAGGATCAGATAGGTAAGTTAATTATTGAGATTCTGTCAGCTAGATACCTTCCTTCTAAGGAAGATGGGCACATGCAGATAAAATTAGCCAGTTTCATATAAATGTATGAACACTCAGCATTAGCAAGGAATGGGCTGGGTGACCTAGTGCGGGTTTTTCCATTCCTGACTAAAAATGATAAAAAAATTCCAATAAACAGACCATGAATAACCCCCAAAAGTCCCTGGCAACATGCTAGATATGAGTGAGAGAGAAAACATATTATCTTGGCTTTTCTTTTTCAGGGACTTTTTTTTTGGCAGTAACAACTGGCAAAGAGTGAGTCCAAATTATTGCTTACAGCACACATTCAGTTGGGATAGCAAAATCCTTAACTAAATGGAGCAAGGAAACCTTCAAGGCTGGACAGAAAAGACAAAGACAGACTCGGGGTATATGTGGGAGTGGAAGGAAAAGACTCAAAATACAAGGAAGGACATTGCAGTGTTGGAAGGTTTGACAACTCATTAAAAAACAATTGAGTTGATTTCTTGAGAGGGTGGTGTTTGAAGTTTAAAGTCACAAAGTTCACCAAACTCCCTCTCTCACACACATCCATCTTTTTTTCTCCAGATCACCAGTTTCAAACCTTTTGTGCCTGCACCAATTTCATCCCATTCCTTAATGAGAGTCAAGCAAATCAAGCAGTAATGCTCTGCAGGCTTTTTACATGAAATAAGCTGAAGAAAAGATATCAGTGACAGAAGTGATGAGCCTGCCAGTTCATTTGGTCTCATAAAATGTACTGCTATAGGTATAAAGCATGTATCAAGTTTATCAGGTTTAACATTTTTGAAGATGGGATGAGAATACAGGTGGAGAGTCCTGAAAACCTCAAAGCAAAGTCACAGTGTTGACAATACTGGTGAGGAATTTGAATATGTAAAGAAAAGAGAGTGAAAATATTAGAAGGTTAATAAGACTCAGACTACCATAACAGCAAGAATCCCATGTCAGTTCAGATCACTGACTTCAAATTCTGGCAACAGCAGCAATCCCAAAACAAACTGAAATTGCAGAGTTGGCATAACAGAATGTTAACACAGGTTTTATCTAAAGGTTTTAACAGCAGACACAGGTAAAACTGTTTTTGCTTGACCAACTGCCAGCTCTCACAATATTAAAGGAGAATATTTCCCTGGTTGATAAACAATACATCATGCAACCTGAGAGACGATAAAAAAAATAAAGTAGATGGATGAAGTCATTAATACACATGACTAAATTTGTTGGAGGTAAAAGCAATCACCAGAAGCTACAGTGAAAGTAAAAAATTAGATATGCAAATCCCTCAGGATATTGTGAAATATGGAAAAAACCAGAAATTAATGGAGAACAATAAAACTGACATAAAAAGTAAATATATGCCAAACTGTAGAAAACTGAATCATCTTTCAATATTCTAGTGTTTGATGAAACTGCCCCAAGAGAAATCTTAAGATGCAATCATATCTCTGAAGATTCTACCACTCATCCACCTGATCCCCACTAATATATTATTTTAGTCATTTTACAGAAATCAAAATGAAGTAAAGACTACTTCTGCCTTTGCTTTTGCTCTGTGTCTGATGGAATTACAGAGCTTTACATTATCATTACAAGTTTGAAAAGCCAAGTGAATGAGATTTTTACATAGTCACAGCTGAAGTTCTGAAAAGACGGTTTCCAAATTTTGAATCCAATAAAGAGAAATATAGGAGAAGTATTTTCTCTAATACTGTCACAGTGTTTTCTAGGGGATTTCATTAATATTTCCACTTGACATAAAAAGCAACAGCCAATTAAAATACTTGACTAAGATTATTTTTCACTTTTGAAGTTGTCCTGCAGTATTAAAAGAAAAATCTCAACCCAAGTAAGTGGACAGTAAATTTTTGGTTTAAGAACTTAGAGAAAGCCTCTTCAGAGATGGCTATTCTGAAATGGTATTAATCTTTTTTAAGTTTCCATGGTGCTGCATTATTTTTTTCCTCTTTATTTTTAACCATTCCCCCACATATCAGGTACTATGAAAAGTTCTTTTCATTCACACCCTGTTAAAACACCATCATTTCATTTGATGTAAATAAGCACCCCATTATAGTGAGGCCACAAATCTACTTTCTTTGCTGATTGAACAGTACAAGGCTGAAAGTCTTACCTACATTTCACTGGACATTTTGTGTGTCATGACTCACCTTATGCTGTGCAAGCTGCAGCTTTATTTTGTCAGGGTCATTTGCAATTTCAAGATCTGAGTCCAGAGATTTCTCTGACTCTTCCAGCCATTCCATAAGTTTATGCCAGGCTTCATGGAACTAAAGGAAAGTCAGATTTGCATGGACTTTAGAATCCATTCATTCATGAAACAGTCCAAAAGCATTAAATCCCAATCAAGATTGGCACACTTTGACAAAATTTGATGTGTTTTTTCTCCCTGGTCTAAAACAGAACTGGTCTAGCCATGTGCTCACTGTATTTAGCCTCCCTTCCCCAAGTGAGTTAACAACTTTTAATGATGTGCACACATCATATGTATGTGTCAGAGACATATTGGTAACACCTATCGATGTGTTGGTCATTTAGATTCCTACAGTTCTAGTAATGGATAGTAGATACAGAAATAACAGGGCTTAGCTATTGCTTATACAGGATCATGGCAGCAAATCAGTGAGGAAAACTTCTGTCTGGATGACTGCCCAAGATGCTCCCTGTAACACTCATCAAGGCTCTCATTGTATCAAATGCTATCTTGACAAGAAAGGAACAGATTTTTGATCTTCCTTCCTGTTTCAAAGAAAAGAGCACTTCAGGGAAGGAAGCAGGGAAAAAGTAAAGATTCAACCAGCTTTCACAAAGTGTCCATATGGGTTTTGATTTTTCTACCCTGGTCATTTCTCCTTCTCTCTCTCTCTCAAATTCTTTTTGCTTGGGCTGCCTACACATAGAAGCACAAGAAACTAGTTCAGAAATTTTTCAAGGAATCTAAGACCCTGGTGTTCAGGGCTGTTGATTAGGCCTTGACACCAAGAGCCTTCAGCACTCCTTCCACACTCCACACACAGAGCTGTCATCTTAATAACACTGTATTCAGCTTTGTAAATGCATTTTGAGATAAAACCCATCTCATTGCAGAACTGCTGTGTGTGTGAACATGCAAGAGAAACTGCTGGCAAATAAGAAATATGTGATTAGCTTATAGGCTAATTAATTGCCCAGAGACCTGCTTGCTCTATGAACTGAGTGGTGGTAGTGGTGAACACTGGAATGGTGTTTAGCTGTGAACACCATCAAATCTTGAACGATCATGTTCCCTTTAATAGAAAGGAGCAAGAACTTCCTGTTGATATTTAAACAGATTACATTCCTCTTACACATTTTGTATCTTATACTTTATGTTCTTTGGTGAGGGAAACATGTATCTAAGGAAAAAAGCACAGATGCTCGCAAATAAAGAAAACTGCAAACGGCCCCCCTCCACCCAAAAAACAACCTCTCCAGGTTTATAAGGAAATAAATGGAGATATCTTACCCCAGAGAAGATATTGGTCTAGTAACTAACATAAGAGATTGAGTGGTAAGTGATGAGTTTAATTAGGACACAACATAGACCCAAGAAAATGCTAAGGAATATTCCCACGGATTAGTGAAAAGGGTTCATCACATTCTTTAAAATACACAGGGTTGATTACGAAACTTCTTTTTGAAGACAGATGGCACTAATACACATCTGGAATCCATACTTTAACTTTCTTTTTTCAGACTATCCTGTACTGCAGACAGAAGTCACTGCTTGGGTTGAAAATGATGCTTTCACCTCCCAAATGAAGTGCTCTGGGATTGAATCAGAGAAATTGCTCCACTAACTCAACACCGTCTGTTACATGAAACCCAGGCTTGCTTTGTAAGTGCTTTAAAGCATCATATTCTTCAAGAATCTGGATGCAATTACAAATAAGTTCAAAGAGTTGTAAAACAGCTGTTGTCCCATTACCTGTTTGGCTCTTTTCCTTGCATCATCCAAAGCTCTTCCCCTTTCAACTAAGCGTTGGACTACTTTTTCCCATCGACTCTGTACACTAATCAGCAGATTCTTAATAAGGACAACGTCCTGTTTCTGGCTGAAATATTTCAAATGGGTTCCAGTTTTGTCCAGCTCTATGATCTGATCTCGATGAGAGTTCACTTCTGTGGCAAAAACCTTGGAAAAAAAGGGTGAAAATTACTGAATACAGTGTTGGGTAAACACTGAAAAAACCCAGTCTGATAAAGAATGATGTAGTGAGAAAGACTAAAAAATACAATTTTAAAACAAATGAAATGTTTCTCTGAGTGCCAGCATTATAGGATTCATTTGGACATTGTTACAGTATCTCCACAGAGTGGGAGAAAAACATTACACATCTGTTTCTTTGCATACCTTGTGTTCATCAATTTGAAATAAGACAGTGTCCAAGATAAGACTTGGCCGAGAAGCTGCAGTCAGAGTCTGCTCAGCCTGAGTAAGCCAGTTGATGAAATCTTGAAGTGAGTTGTGGAACTCCATTGCTAAATTCAGGGCTTCTTCCAGTTTGGTCTGTAAAGACAGGTCATGCTTTATTAGAGGCTGATATTGTGCAGGGGCTTAAGCCAAGGAAACCATTTTAGTTCAGCACTTTGGAGTAAACCATTTTAGTTTAGCATTTTAAAACACTTTTCCAACTCCAAGTTTCTGAGTTTTAAAATAACAGCCTATATTTGAGCATATTCAAGGAGATGGATACAGGAGTTGCAGCAAAAATATGCATAACAGATGAATAGAAAATACAGCACCTAGTATCAAGATCAATTTTTCCACATATTTCCTACTACTTAATCCAAATGTGACATTTGGATTTATCAAGTTCAATACAAAACCAGTAGAATTTCAGAAATCTGAAAGGTAGTGATGCACTTCTAAGAGCCTCACGTAGGTCATCAAATTTATTCTTCATCAAATTTATTCTCTTGCACTTAATGAAGAGTAAGTTTTCCTAGAGCACTTCTTTTTAATAAAGCCCAATTTTCATTTTTGGTTGCCTGAACAGAAACTAATTTGGGATACAGAATTTTGTTGATCATGAGACAGCAGTCAGAGATTATCAAACATTTACACTGCTGACCTCACTGAGCACTCCAACCTTACAGCTTCCTGCAAGAAAGTGCTCATTCGTACCGGGTATTAATTAGTTTTTCATTTTGACTTTATTATTACCTTAAGAGACATCAGCAATATAACTTTAAAATACAGCTAATTGTGAGTTAAATATTTGTGCTTTATACTTATCAGGGCTGTACAGAGAGTTTCTCTGTTTGCAATCATGGGTATTCTTTTTGTTTGATTGAGTTAGAACAAGTGGACTATATTTCGTGAAGGAATGAAAGCCATATGAAATTACTAACAAGAAAATGTGTGTTGCATATCAGTGAAATCATGCTATTGATCTGTTAGAACAGAAGGCAGTCACTTGAAGAAAATAGCAAAAGGCCAAGCATTTGGGAATTTTAAGAAAAAATGGCTAAAACCTAGGAAATTTAAGCACAACCTTATGTACTGAGGAGGAGATAAACTTGCAGGATCATTCAGTCTCTCAAGTCTATGATTACTGCAATAAAGTCCAGAGAACCCCCAGTCCTACCAAATGAGCATTAACAGTATCAGTTAATTTATTTCTATGGAACAGATTTGTGCCATTCTCACCATGCTCCTCCCCAATTATGGGTAATTAACTTCTTGAATCCTATTTCCCCCAGTACTTTCTAAACATATTACTGAATTATGTCAGTCTCTACAACTGATTTTAAATGTAAAAAAATCAGACAAGTATGCATCCATAAAAGCACTCACTGATCATTAACACACTTAAATGCATGATTTATACTTCTATTTCTTATGTAAAAAATACATACTTTTCTTTCACTGAGTTTTGTTTGCACAGATTCCCATTTTTCTTTTAAATTATTTATATCCTGCTCAACGTTTGTTTCAGCAGACTCTGGGCATCTTGCAAGCATCTGCTGGCCTTTCTGCATTAGACACTTGTATGTCTCTTCTTTGGCCTCAAAGGCAGCACAAAGCTCCTAAATAAAGAAAGGACCAGAAATAATAAGGTAGAAATTCAATACTCTTTATAAATACCAGTATAATATATCTTCTTCCCCCAACATTTAGCAGGTATGATTAAGACTAATAAAGGAAACAAATGTAATTCATAAAAAGCCAAATGAGAAAACGAGGGACCCAATTCCTCAGGAAATGAAAACTTGTATTGTCTGTCAAGGTCTTCTCTGAGATTCAAAGACTGGCAAAGTACTATGCACCCACTGAAAAAAAGTTGCCATAACGTGGTTTAACATCCATCTGTAGCCAAAACACAAAAAGTGTCAGCATTACACAGACCTATCCAATACCCTTGAAAAGTGGGGGACAGTTCAGGAGGGCTGGTTTATTGTACATTATCTGTATCTTCCTTCACTTGCTAGACATGAGCACTGAAGACATTTCAGACATCTAAAGAAAGCTGTAATAATTACAGTCCACTCTCACATTTGGGAAAAATCCCTCACCACCTATTTTTTCCAATTTTTGTTTTTCTTTTATGACAAAAAGAAAAGGATTATAGGAATTCAAAACCACAGAATTATTTGTGTTCAGATCTAGTTTCCTGTCTTAACTGATTCTAAAATTGTGAATTAGTTTCCCTATCAATTATAGATACTGGCAAATTTTGAAGACAAAAAAAGGAAAAAAAATATTCCCCATGTTGGTAAGCAATGATTTTTTTTTTAAGCATCATTCAAAAAAAAAAAAATCTGATTTTTAACATTATGACACTGCAGCACTATAATTGGAAGTGTCAGGTCAGGCATATTCCTGTTCAAGGACAGTTCAGTGAGTATCACTGTTACATCTGAGACAGGAATTCAGAGGTCCAGATCAGGTTATTTCCTGGCCTAACAGCACATCATGATTTTACACAAATGAAGCTATAAGAACCACCTTCCTTAGAGGTAAGGGATCAAGTTTACATGTCTTTTTTTAAACTCAATGGTTCTATGGGACCAGAGAAATCCAGACAATATTTCTTAAAGAGAAAGAAAGAGAATAATTCAGACATCCTGGTCAGCTTGCCATTTCTAATTAAAGCACAGCCTCTAGGAGCTAGTAGTCCTCCTTACTTCTATGCTAATGATGACTTTACTGCCAGCTTTGGTTAGATAAGGAATAAAGGATCAACTCTCTTAATTCAAGGTTCAGTGAATGTGGGCCATTTTTAGGTTCATCTTCAAACTTCAGAAAAATCATAAATTTTGTTATGGGTTCAGAATGGAGAAGAAGAACAGGAATCACTGAAAAATCTGCAAACCTCTTATGTAAAGACACAAAAGTTGTTTTATTTGTTTGTTATGGTTCAGCTTTGGGCATGTCACAACAGGCTACTAAACTATACTGTAAGTAACAGTGTTGTTTTGAAGCCTATTAAATTTAAGACACTGTACAGACATTGTGATATATAGAATACACTCTGTATTTACCAAAAAGACTCTTAAAAGATAGTTACTCCTGAAATGCAATTTGCAAAGCATTCTAATACTGATACTTACCATATGTGCATTAAGCTGCTCTCTTGCTGTTTCTGGTAAGCCTCCAACAGGTTTTGATGCCAACAGCTGACGTTCAGTGTCTGTCAGCCATTGCTGCAGATCCTCAACTTCACCATGGAAACCTTGAGCCTAAATTATACCATATCGTTTTAGAGATAACTTAAATATTCTTCATTCCAATACCAGCTCAGATGCATAAGCACATTGGCAAGTGTTTTAACCAGATATTTGTATTAATCAAAGGAAATTAAAGAAGAAGAAAAAAAGGAAAAAGCAAACAAATAAACTGCCTCAATTCAATCTAAAGGATAAGAACAAAAATCATAGAAATCATGAAAGCAGTCCAAATAACTACTGCGAGACCAATGTTTTCCCTGAATAATACACCTATACAGAAATTTCACCCTTTACAAACATGTAGACCAAAAGCTGAAGTCTTATATCAGCACTGTAAGGGACAGTGTCCAGCTGTGGAAAATACAGCTGGATTAAAAGCCCCTCCAAATTCAGGAGCATCTGCATCATGGGTTTGATTTAGGCCAACTTCTAAAACATGTATCTGTGTATTTCATGTAAAAAGACACTTTTTCTGAGTTATCTATTTGATCATTTCCTGTTCACCTGGATCAAGGCACTATCCAGCTGCTGTTTCCTTTGTTCTGTTTTTTCCAACAAGTTTTGCCAGCGCTGATTCAGGAGTTCCAACTTGCTCCGTAAATTACTTGCTTCTTCAACAGCACTTGATTCAATCAGGTCATTTCCTGCTTTTTTAACAGCTTCCACCGTAGACTGATGAGCGAAAACATCATTTTGTAGCACCTACAATTGTAAGACAGCATGGCCATATTGGTAAGTTACTGAATGAAGGCACTCACAGTGATTGAGCCACTTGCAGTCCAAGGACAAGACAGTGATTTAACATCAGCAAAGGTATCAGAAACTAAAGCTAATAACGAAGACCTCAAAAGTAGCAACAGACTTTTCTGACAAAATACTGAAGCTTATTTTTGTATCTTGGAAAAAATAATATATTCCTTCTGAAAGGATATATTTCTGAAATTATTGAAGGTTTCTAGTAGTGCTAGGGAATAATCATTGCATCATTTAAAAAATTTATTATATACTTCCCTTTAACAGGATTTTTCTTTGAATACAATGTGCCTGCTGTGCTATACAGTAACCCAGCTGCCACAATGTCTTCTTGTGCATGTCACAGCTACAACTCCTTTCACATTATGCCAGGCTACCAGGACACTTGACCTGTGCTAAAAGCAGGGAGATGGTTGTAGTACTAACACCAAAAGATCTCCTCCAAGTGCTGGAAAACCTCTTATTTCACCAACCACAGTAAAAACCATAAAAGGCAAAACTTACATTTGCGAAAAAAAAAAGCTGTTTTCAGAAGGATGGGGGGAAGAGCAAGAAAAGCTTTAATACAGAACAGAAAAATAAATACACAAAATGTTTGGGAAGAGAATGGTAAACCCTATCAAGAAATTCAGGTTTATGATTGCTGTCTCCATGGGCTCTGACTCAAACTCACCTTCATCAAAGTGCTAGCATATGGAAAAAATATTAAGCTAAATAAAAAGGAACTTAAAAATAAACTAAACGGAGCACAATATGACATAGCAAGTCACAAGCAGACCTTGAATATAAAATACACATCACATTCACTTTAATTCTTCTAAGCTAAGAACCAGATTATTTCATTTTCCTAAAAGGGTGAAAAAACGTATTCACAGAAGCAGATGCATCTTATCCCTTCCTTCCTGCTGAGACTCACTAAGAACAAGGTCTATTCTTTCCAAAGTTATTCAAGAGGTGGATGTTTTTACAGGCTACCACAGGATGCACTACTGTGTGAACTTGCTAACCTATAAACTCTGTATTATGAAAAGGAAGTAGATTCATTCATGTGTTTGCTGAACTCCTTCAGCACAGACACAAATGATGTCTCGAGGCTTCTTCACTAGTAAAACACTTCCGTTTGATAAGAATATAAAAGGTTCATGGAGCAGAACCTGTTTTTGTAATTTTATTTACTTTATTTTAAAAGGGTCTGTTTATAACAATAGTCACATAGGGTATGTAGATAATGTATTCCGTTCAAGTTCCAGCTGACCACCCAAAGCCCTCAGAAGCTGCATAGCTGCATTAACACAGACAATAAAAATACCTTAATTATTGTTACTGTCAATTTCAATCAACTCTCTCAAAATTCAAAATGGACTCTGAGTACTTTTTACATCATATGCAGGCTAAAAATTAAACGGCAGATTTAAAGGGAGAGAAATTACAAGGTTAGTTTTAAATCTTCAAGCCTAGAAAGAACACATTGTTATGAAGAACACAGAGTTACACATAGAGGCAAGGAAAATCTCTTACTCCTAGGAGATGTGCTAAAAATAAAGGCATAGCAGAAGCATTCTTCCTTGTGCTCCAAAATAACAATGATCAGTAAAAGTACTAAAACAACAAACAAAAAACCTTAACCCTACATTGTAAGTAACACTGAGAAAAAGATGGGAGCTTGCACGGATTTTTGGAGAAGTATTCCCATCTTAGTTGAACCCAACTGACACACAATTAACAAATCCCTGTTTTCTGAGAAGAAAGGAAGAACCAAAGATATGCAAAAGTTGCACAGTTTGTGAGACCAGGCTTAAACAGAATTAATCAAGGAGTTTATTGCTTCAGGGAGAGTAGCTGGTTCAGTAACTTTTGAGTTCCCTAGGTCAAAGAAAGGTGATTAGAGGTGGAGACTAGGGTAAGCTGTTTATTTTTGGCTAAAACCTATGCCACTTGCATGGCATATGCAAAAAAAGGAAGGAATGTGGAAGAATAAGAGGAAAGATACTATTTATTCCAAGCCTTCACCTCAGCTACAATCTGCATCTTAAAAGTATATGTAGAGAATTATTTATAAAATGTGAAGTTTTACTAAAAGACACATCCCTAAGATAAATATCAAAAGAACATTTTGGTTAATATTGATTATAATTACGTACATGATGTTTGGCAAGTTCAATTTCAATAGCCTTGGGGTCTCCACCCACAGGTTTCTGTTCATTCAGCAAGTCTTCTGTATGTGTCAGCCATGCCAGCAACTCATCCAGGGCATGCTGGAACTGCCCCAAGGCTAACAAGGCACCTTCCAGCTTGTGCTACAGCAAAAATAAAGTTAACAATAAAATCATTTCACAATGCAATTTAATTGTCTTCATTACCATTAGTCACCTTAATCCAGAGCAAAGTCCACACATAAGAGAATAAAAAACGGGGAGAAACAGTTACCCAGTACAGGCAATGCTTTATAACTACAGATGAGTTAACAATTCCCTTGTAAAGCCTTGCATTCCAGGCTCAAATTCCTGGCCTTGGAAGAAGCCATACAACCAGAACAGAGTTAAGGTTGAAGGTTCTTTCATTAGATGTATCAGTAGCTTTTTTATCACTTAAAACATATTTTCAATATAAATGCATGATCTGTCATGAAAATATTCAGTTTAGAAAAAATAATACACTTCAAAGGATTCTCTCACATCTCTCAGCTTGATAATTTAAGGAAATAACACTGAAATAGTTTAACATTAAGTTAATGGGGTTTTATTCAATTGTTCAGTTCTGCAGCTACTGTTACTTTTGCACATACAAAGATGTTTTCAACTGCTACGTAAGACATCATCAAATAACCAAAATGAAATTATAATCATTCAACATAGCATTACTGACAGAAAAATTGAAAAGGTTTAAAAATGTCTTAAAAACTAATCATACAATTCAAATCCTATTATACACAATTTTTTTAGCTTCCAAACTAAAAGCAATGTGTAAATTAATATAAGCATATAATATATTATACATAATGAAGAGTTTTTCACAAAAATCTAAGTCATTAATAAAATCCCCACCTCCAAGCATATTTACCTGTCTACTTATAATTTTGTCTTCTAGGCTGTCCCACAATAGTCTGAGCTCTGAAAGAGGGTCTTGAACAGTGTGCTTGTCACTCTCTTGTGTTGCCTTCTTTAGCAATAGTTCTGCCTGATGGTTCAGTCTTTCCATTTCTATCTGCTGCTGATAAGCTTCTGTCTTAAATTGCTATAGTAAGTAGAAATAGAATAGAAATAAATGAAACACAAGTAATGATTATAGAATCATAGAATGAGTCCACGTTCCAGCTCTTGTGGTTGTGATGGTGATAATGCTTTAAACTTCAAATGGAATTATTCTTGAAAGGAAGTGAAAGCAAATTTTCTTTAGTAGAACACCGTCTTTAACATACATTTGGTGCAACAGTCTGAATGCATCTTGTGTACATATGTTCTGAACTATGTAAGGTCATGACTCATTTGAAGTTACATCATAAAATATATGAAACAACCTGCTCACAGCCAACAAAATCTACAAGTGAGCAACAAAACCAAGAACCTTCTCTGATCATCACATATTTCTGCTTTTTAAACATGGCATAAGAGCATGCCAACATCAGGTGCATATTCAGTCAAAAGTATAAATCCATGCAGACCGGTTTCTAAGTTAGACTGCAATTTTGATTTTCACCTTACTCATGTATTAGGAATGTCATCATCTGTGTGAGCATTTACATAAAGGCTCTAATGGCAGAAGCAAAGCTTTGGAGGCCTTCTCTCAGAGTCTCCAAGAAATTGTTCATGTTAGAAACCAGAAAACATAAAGGTCATAGCAGAAGAATCCTGCACATAATAACGTCATAGTTTTTGTAAAAGAATGAATGATACTACAACTATTTTTGGGCTATCATAAAAATGAAATGTAGCCTTGCCAAAGTTGGAATAGATTTTTAAATTAAGTGCATTTTAAAAAGAAAAGTTTGCAATGAAATATTTCAAAATTTTCATGCAAATTCTTCTTTACTAAAAATTGAAAATGAAAATTGCATTTGACTCTTGAAAAATACTAAATAGCACAGAAAAATACAGACAAATGGAAATATAAAGGAAATAAATTGCTAGTTCATACCTTAAGCTCCTCTGTTTGCTGCTTCACTGTCTCCAGATCTGTTCCAACCGGGGACATAGATGCTAACTTGCTGCCAGCAATGTCTACCCAGTCAAACAATGCCTGAAAATCACAGTATGACATTTAAGTGTGAGCAGAAAAATGCTGTTATTTTTGAAAGTCGTATTAAGTGAAATGTCAGAATTTTTCTTGTTTCCAGAGAAGGTATTGCTGTGCTCTTTCAAAGCTCTCTTCTATTAGCAGCAAGATTCTGCCAGAATTATTCATGCTGAGTAGCAATCTAATTCTTATGTAAAATCTGCAATTTTTATGAATCCCCAAAAGATAAATACAAGACAAACTCTGTTCTACAGTTGTTTAGAGTGAAAATGGAAGGTGGTGGATAGCACAGCTTAAATGAGGATCACAAACAAATTTCTTTTGAAGAAAGCTATTTGCATAAGGAACATGGAACTACCCATTCAGTACATACTAGGTAGTGAAGGACCATAACTGAGATAGAATGAATCCTTATAGGATAATGCAGCAACTTTAAAAAGATCAAAATAAAAAATTATGTCTCCCCAGTTCTGATGCTTTATGAGTATTCCTTTTGCTCTTGATACTATGCAGAACCCCAAGAATATTCTACATGGATTAAGAACACCTGCATCAATCTGAGTAATTGCACCAGGGAAAAAACACCTCCAACTAGGCCCTCTAACACCTGCCTATTATCTGTGGAGATATCATTAAGGAGAAATGCTTAGGACAACTTTTGGAGCTGCCCACTGCTACATGGCTCCTTGAGAAAAGGAGAACTATACCCAATGCCCTCAAGAGGGTGAGGCAGCTGCAGTTAACAATCTGTCCATAATACTTTTCATATTGTCTATTGAAATGAGTGTAAGACAGCACTTAAATACAGTTCTTTCATAAAGTACCAAGCTTGTAGGATGTACCATGTACAGCTACAGGAAATCGAAAGCACTTAAACCAAAGGGTGATGATTCTAGCTCTCTAATCAATCTCTGCACAGTAGGAACACAGGAGAACCCAGAGAAAAATCCATAGTGATGGTGCACTGCATTAATGCATGTTGCATTTTTATTAAGGAGTTGTCTGCTGCTTGATCTGCACCAAATACAGAAGTAACTGCCCTCAGTGTCATGTGAAATTCCAGTTTTAAAGGTTTAATGAACCAGGGAAGAAACTAATTCCACCAAAAAAAACAAACAAACAAAACCAAACAAAAACTACAAACTGCTACAAAAAACTCTACAGCACATACAGAGAAAAGATCATCGTTTCAAAGGATAGGTTGTGTTGGAAGAGACCTTTAAAGGTCATCTAAAGTACAATCCCTCTTGTTTTTTAAACTTCATCAGTTCTAGGAAGCACAATGTACAAGATATTGTAAAATTCCTGGAATGTTTGCCTACAGATTTAAAAAGGGAATCATCTTCTAAAGTATTGTGATTGGATAAATTATACTAAGAACAAGTATAATGGTTTAGCAACATTATGTTAATAAAATTTTTCCTTAAAATACTCAAACATTTTACTTATAAATAAGGTGGGATAAAATTCAAGCGCTTTAACTGTCTTCCACTCAAAGAAAATAGCAGCAAGTGAGTACACAGACCTGTACTCTGCTCCTTTCAGACCACAAAGATGTGCCATAACTTAAACCTGGCTTGACTATCACAAGAAAATGTGAGCAGACCTACTACAAATGTGTGGTGCCAAAACACCTCTGCTCTTATCAACAAACAAGGGGACATTAACTTTGAATCCAAACACAGTGCAATATATGGACATGAAGAAAACAACCCAACATACATCTTTAATGCAAAAAAAGCCCAACAAACCAACCCTAACCAATCTTGAGAAAAAAATCCTGCCTGCTAAAGAAAACAGTCACTACAACCAGAGTGCATTACTTGTCACCTCCCTAATCACATGACACTTTTTACTACAACCACATTAAATCTCATTGACTCAAGGCTGGGTTAGGTATATCACATCATCTTACCTGTAGTCCATCTTGGTATTGAACAGCTGCCTGCATAGCTTCCCCAAGCTTATCCACACGTTCTTTCCATGTTTTGTTTAATGCATCCCAGGCAGAATTCAGCTGCAATTGAGCACAATTTACTCCAATAGACAAAAGAATTTTACTGCTAGATAATGTGCATTTATTAACTCTTCACTGATCAATAATACAAATAAACTGTGATTAATTCACATTTATTCCATATGAACACTCTTGTCCACCCTGTCACTGCATAACTAGTTTCTTTCAGAATTCAGTAGTTTCTGGATTACAAAAGCTGTAAAAAACTTCAATACTGACTGAATATTTTTTATTAACAGAGATACTACAGTTAATAGAGGAAATACTACTAAATCATTTGGAGTTGCATCACCATAATAAAAATAGCTTAAAAGCTTAAAAATCATACATTGCTGATCACTGGAGAAATAAAAAGTACTTTATAGTTATCCAAACAGGATAGTCTCAGTTAAGATGTCTCACTTGGCATGAACAATACATATCCAAAATTTATTCTAGCATTACTTTTGCAAGAAACAGTCACCTACAACATTAATCAGTGAGTATTTAAAAAAAAAAAATCTCTCTTCTACAAAAGTTCAAACCATAAATTGATGAAATAAAACAGTGGGTATATTCTAATCTAATCTAAGATTCATTTAGTCAAAAGTTAAATCTTACTTTACCACAAAGGTTTCAGTGGTGTCTCACTTTTGCCACAAAATTTTTCTTTTCAAAACTTGTTGAGGTCATATCAATTTCAGCTGAGCAAGTAAGCAGACCTAAGCATCTGCATTTCCCATACCTCATCTATACTCTTGTTGACAATAGGTTTGTCAGGCTCTCCACAAGCAGCTCTCAGCTCAGAGCCAAGGCTCACAACTGCTTCTAGTTCTTCTTGTAGTCCATCAATTTCTTCTTTGGCAGCCTACCAAGAGAAAAAAAGCCAACACTGCTAATGCTAAATTTAATAACCTATGTACAACTTGCTTTCAAGATATAACACAGCAGGATTCCACCTTTGTTTTCTTTCAAGTCACTTGGAATTGCAACGGGATGCTTAGAAAATAAGCATCCGTTTGCAGTGTCAGATGAAATCAGCTGGCATCAGTCTAAATTGTAACAATGGTTTATGATCCCATTTTGCATGAGATGGAAAAAACAAACAGGAAGTTTTAAATTAGATTTCTTTAATCAGAGTGTCTTCTTTGTCAGAGGTTATCATTCAACCTTCAAACATTTAACTATCAGTATAAATAATTACAGGCTTAGAAGATAATACACAGAGCATAATACATTTGTCCACCCTTCATTTAGATGTTACGCACTACTCGAGGAATCTCAAGCATGTATAACTTTTAAAAGTCCCAGTGAGATGGTCATTACATACATATTTACAAACAAATAAGGAAATGTAATGACAAGCACATGTTGCATGCTCATTGCAATTAAGCCCTGATACACGTTATTAACTGTAGACTTTTGAGATACCACTATTGTAAATTTCTACACAATTATCCCTCTTAGTCTTTACAAAATAATATATTCTCCTCTGCATACCAAAAAATAAAGTCAAGAAAATACTTTCTACTGACCTCTGCAGCTTCTTGCTGCTGCTTGACTACAGATGGGTCTACTCCAGGTCCCTCCAATTCTCGAATGAAGTCCTGAGTATCTTTAATAGTAGCTACAAGAGCCATATGATCACACCAAAACTTTTCAGCCAGTTCCATTACATCCAACAGTTTGGCCTCTCTTTCCTCAGTCAAGGTCTGGATGTCTTCCCAAATTAGGACCATTTGGTCTAGTTTATCTTGAACAGCTAAACAACAAAGGAACTAGATTACTACCTTGGCAAACAATTCTTGGTCATAAATCTCTCTACAGCTCTACAGCAGAAACATATGTGTACATTTTAAAATTTAGATGCTAAAATATTTCTTTGCAGAACTCCTTATAATGTTAAGTGGAAACTAACACAATGGCCTTTAAAAATAAAATAAAGGTCATATCCACAATGAATTATTTTAAATGTATGCTTTGTTTTTATAAATCTTAAGCAGCTTCTCCAGCAGAACATTCCCCAGATTAGAAGTCAACAGAAATGAAGAATTTTATATGCTGCAGCTTACTGCATTTCCACTACATGAAAGTCTTCTCAGTCTATTACCTTTAGCAGACATATCCTTATCAGCACCTTCTGAGCGAGCAATCATTTCCTCTCCTCTCTGTTTAAGTGTCTCATACACTGGCTGAAGTTTTTCCAGATCCACTGACACATTCTTATTTTCACTGATCTGCTCTTTTATCTTCTCAACCTCTGCTGAGATCGACGGTGGCTGCCTCAGACGTTCAGCAATGCGCTTCAGACTCTCGAGAGTTGGATCTATCTTGTCATGAAACTAGGAGGGTGGTACAGGACAGAAGGAAATTGCAGACAAATTAGAATTTAAAATAACCCAACGAAACAAAAAACCCAAACCAACAAACTAAAAAATGGCATCTGAAATTATCTTGAAAAAAAGTATTTACATCTCTATCCAATATATTATCCAATATATGCATGTGCAAACTGCAATACCTCCCTCTAGGCTCTTTTAATATCTAAATTAAAAAAATAACCCAGAAAAATGGTAGGTTCTTTCAAATTCAAGAATGTTTCTATTAAGTTCAGGTTCAGTCCTGAGTCACTCCCTCTGAGGATTCCATAAATATGGCAGAATCCACTTACATTTAGTCCTGTGAAACTCATGTAGTTTGTAGCTTTAGAGAATCATGGCTTTCTGACTTCACCATTATAGAAAGATAAGTACTTTACTATTAAAAACATACATTTTCCTGTTAGGACCAACATACTCATATACAACCTCCAACTAAAGCTTTACATGTAAGGTCATGCAAAAAGACATTTGTTAGTGGCCAGGTGGTGCTTGCTGGTGCAGTAAAGGTGTTGCTTTCTGCACCCAAAAGCACACAACAGCATATATACTATAACCTTCCATGTTTGACTGAGCCCAGGTAGGTGCTCAGAAACTCAATTACAGCTGTGTTAAAGTGGTTCAGCCTTTGGGAGAGCTCCAAAGTCAGCCTTTATTATATGCTCTTGGATTCCTAAATATCTGGCACACCACCATGCCCCTTTCAAATTAAAGTAATTGATAAATGGTGGGTGCATTTAATGACGCTCCAAGATCTACAAAAAACACTCCTGACAACACTTGGAAAAGATGCTAGAAAGAACACAGCAAAACAAGATTACTTTATGTGAACAAACAGCTACATCCTTTCTAGTCAAAGGAATATACACAGGCAATATAAATATAATTACTTTTTCCCACCATACAACCCTCTTCAAATCTGACTCTGTAACTAACGTTATAGGCCTCAGTGTTTTTGTCAGAAATGTGAATATAGTATGAGCCAACAAAATGTGTTATGAAAGAAAAGCAGCCTTCTCACATTCAAGATTTCTGAGAAACTGATTATGGCAACAAAACCACACAGAAGTGATAAAAACTGAAATTAATTTGGAAATATTTGGGTCTAATTTTATGACATATATTACATTTTAAAGTTGTCAGTGCATTCAGTGGGCCTCCTTGTACTCAACTTCAACAAATAAGACAAAGTCTTTTAGAACTTAAAAGGAAGAAAATGCAAGTCATAATAACCTCTCATTCTACCTTTATACATTATGTCCTTCCTTTGATACACAGTACAATTTAATATAATTTCAAACCTGAAGAGTTAAATAATTACTCTTCAAGGACTGTCTAGACAAACATTGACAGACATCACAGTACAGAGATCTGATAATATATATTCACATATCTTCATAAAAAAGATTATATAAAATTACATTCTGTGGGCATTAGAATGTTTTGCTTTGCCATCTGCATATACATTTAGGTATATAAAATGGACCATAAAGTACTGCATAAATAATTCAGTGATTCTCAACATCTGATTATATTCTAGGTGTTAGCAAAGAATGCATTTCTAATTCTTGCTTTCTGTACTCAGACAGTACAACTTGTTGATGCCTAACACATACAAAGCAGGGACTCTAAGTAAATAACTTGATTTTCAAATTGGCAGCCCCACAAATGAGGAGGACTATGCATTTATGACAAAGAAAAAGAGAGGATCTAAATAATCATGCATATTTCAGAGATGTTTGGAATGACTGAAAGTTTATACATTAAATATTTATATATATATAACATATAATGTCTATAACCAGTTCAAAAGCAGGATGGTATCTGATGTCATTTAGTTTTGCCTCACATTCTTAACCTCAGCTGCAAGGGCCAGGAATATGACATTAATTATAATGACCTGACAAAAATTACTTAGAATGTAGAATTGGTAAGGTTTTTGAGGTGTATTCCTTTATTTAGTATTTAAGACCTAGGCAGAATATAACACTTAATTTCCAGTGAACAGAGGAAAAAAGGGGAATTTCCTATAAAAACAGCAGTATATAACGAAATATTTTCACTCAGTTTTTTGCATGGGTTTATGTACAACGTTTTACTGATTTCTTTTCTGAATCTGAGGTTGAGGAAAAGAATTTCTGTATGAATTTAATGACAATTAACCCAATATTTAACTGTTGCTAGAAAATGGCATTTGACAATACTCTACTGAAGTTCATTTAATAGGCTGATGAAGCTAGAATATGCAGCTTTTGTGGACTTGACCTGAATTTTATGCTGAAGACATTTTGTGAAGTCTAAGTTTCCTGATAATACTTTCCTGTAACAGTTTCAGCATATTATGTTAAGTTCCTTGGACTCTGCAGTGAAGAGCCAATGCCACTACCATTGCTAAACTACCCACTAGCTCCATTGCTAATTCTGTTAAGTACAGCTGCTAATTCCTAGAAATAACTATTTCTCAATAAGAGAAAATGAAAGTGAAAATCAAATCCCACATTTCTAGACCATTAGATTTTTTTACTTCAAAGTTAGGCAGCTGTAACATTTTTCAGTGGCTGCAAAGTCATAATACCGACCGATATATAAAATTATAACCACTTGAGACACAGAAAAATCAATACTATTAGCAGTGATATGAACATGCACAGACCATTAGGTTGAAAAATCCAGATGAAATAGTAGTTTAGTCTTGATATATCCATGTAAGATGACAATGTGTATTTTTCCATTGAATGAACCCAATTACACTTTAAACCTTAATTGATACCTGGGTACACTGAGAAATGGCTTCATCCAGTGCCAGCGCTCGCTTTTTGACATCTTCCTTAATTTTACTGTAAAGGGTGTCAGCTGCCACATATTTCTCTTGGATAGAAAAGCCTTCTCCTGGGCTCAGCTCCAGCAGCTGAGGCCCGGTTTTGTTCATCTTATCTATATGAGGCTTGTGCTCAGCAATCAGCTCACGCAGTTGCTATAACAAATGAAACAACTTATCAGTTTCTTACGCTTGCACCACCACATTACAACTGTCCACACTTCCAACACATCCAGCTGGCAAGAAATTCCAAACAAATACCTTTCGTCTTAATGTAAAGCAGAAATAAAGTTAATGACTGCTTTGCCAGTGATCATTCCCATTCTAACACAGAACTATCCAGGCATAAAACATCAGACCTGGAGACACACTGGAAACACTCTGGTAGGACATATGATTACAGGCAAAATATAAGATGCTAATTATGCATATGATGCTAACAACATACACTGCCCATCATATTTAGTACCTATAATGACAGAAAGGGCAATGATATTCCAGACATGGGTGTAACACCACCACATATATACTTTTCATGTTGGTACTGGTCACTTGCTGCAAAGCCTTTCATTGAAGAACATCACAGAAAGAGGTGCCAACATTGCAAGAAAATGAATTCAAATTATCCTTGATTTAAGAAGAGGAAACCAGCACAGGAGAGGGTCAAATAAATCAGTGAAAAGGGCAAAAGGACAAGCAAGGGTGATCAGTAGCAATCCTTGTTTACCTCTCTCCCCTTCTGGCCACAGGACCCCGTTGTCTTTATAACAGCACTATTATTCAACTTATACAATGTTTAACAAGGAATTAGTAAGTGAATCATTTTTTATCTCAATTGTCTATTCCTTCTCATCATCCGCCCCAGAAGTGAAAACTGTGCTGAAGACTGTGCAGGGGCTTGTGGAAGTGAAATGTCACAAGGTGTCTTCCAAGTTGTCTAAGGATTTCAGATTTTCTTGCTTACACCCATAGAACTGACAAAAGGGTTTTCTTTGTGTGAGTAGAAGAGCCCCATCCTTCCCTCATTTAATTTACTTTCTAATCTCATCCCTTTCCTTTCAGAAAGTCCCAGTCTTGTGAGGCACTCTCCCTCTCAGTGCTGTGAACTCCGTGTGTTTCTATCCAATAGCTCCAGTGCAGGAATATGAGAGGTAAATGCACTGCTCCTCCCAGCTGAGAGTTTGTTTAAATTAATGAAGACCCAGAAAAGAGCCTACATCAGTCTCAGTGTAAATAAGTTCTCCTCCCTTCAACTATGGTCCTTCCCTTAAAAAGGAATCCAGATGCTGGCTTTCTTCCTTGCTCCTCCCAGAAGAGGAGACGTTGAGGAGACTGGGAAGACGACACAACTCTTCAGTCCCTCAATGACAAAATGGAAGTGAAAATAACCTCCCCAACTCTAACTGCTTACCTGGAATGTAACTCAATTTGTACACCTTGCCACAAGAAAAATAATGTTGATTAGCTTGGAGGAGGAAAAGGAGATTATAAGAACAATTTGAAAATTTTTAGAAAATAATTTTGTGTGGTTTACTTTTGAGCACAAAGAGATGACTTGACAGAAGGCCACAAGAGTGCACATTTCTGGGTATAAACCTTATGATAATACTCTGCCAACAGCTCATTTCAAACCAAACTAACTGCATGTTACTCACATAGAATCAACTCTATGAATTCCACAGCTTGGAACAAAGATAGTCATCAGTATATACATCAGAACAGAAACATTAGGTTCTCATTCACATTGAGAACTACTTTTTTTTCTTCTTCTTCTTTTTAATAGAACAACAAATGATTTGGTCTTCTTCATGATCGACTATTGGGTAAACAATTCTAGCAAACAGGCGGTTCAGAGCAGATTACGTTTTAAAAGTGCTTGGCATTAATCTTCTATTTAACAAACAAATCTCAGCTAATGGCAATGGCCTGGGGAAAATGCAAAAATAGAAGCTCATCTGAAAGGCTTCTCATAGAAGCAGCATGATTAAAGTACATGAGGAACAACCTTGCAAGTAAAGCAAGCATGATATGGTTCACGGTGACTAATCAAGGTAGTTAGTACAGCTTATGTTATATAGCTAGTCTTAACAGAACATGTTTGTTCATTCTGGACATAATAGGAAGACAAACGAGTGAACCTGGTGTTTACCAGCACATAAGAGTAGCACATTTCATTAGCTGGTCTCAAAGTAAACAAGACTTTGAAGCACTGGTTCATGCTATCTATCTTGAGTCACTTAATTGAGGCAGCTAAAATAAAAAACCCCACTAGTTACTCCATGCTTAGCAGGGAGAAACAGGTATCTCCAGTGGCCATACAGGTTTTGCATCTGCCAAAACAAGCAGGTTTCTAACCTCAGTGTGATGTATCTGATTCCATGTGATGCTAGCAGTCACCTATGAAACACCTCAATATTTATCCAAACTGATGATATATCCATCTAAGAGAACCCATACAGTCTCCAACACTGTCGCCTCTATTTTGTGATGCTATGGTAAAAAATTATATATTTTAATTATTAGACAACAAACATTCTTGACATGATAAATTACTATGTGATTGGTACCCAAGCAATCTTGGCCCTTTAACTGTTCATCTTCCTTAGCTAAGTTTAGTTTCAATGTTACCAACAAAAGCCAAATTTTTTAGCCATATATAAGATCAGCATATGTCCATATCTGTCTACAGACTATGACCCCTTTAGTTTCTTGCTCCAACATCCCATATGTCTTTCTGTTTTGTTCCAATACTGACATTAATATGCACTTTAAAATACACTTGTTAACTAAACCCTTTTATGTGTTCAGTTCTCTCAGTACAATGGCAATGATTACCCTTTAGCCCTCTTTTATGCTTACAGATCACTTGCTGCCTTCCACAGAAACTTCTGCTTACACGCAGTTTGGTAAACAGTAGAGATATGACTGAAAACATATATACTCTATATTGTTATTGTATTTTTTTTTTCAACAGAGGAGTATCTCTTTCAGTTTTAAGAATTTTGCAGAATACTCCACAGTTTTAAGCAAAATACTTCCTGGTTTTTAACACTTTCTTTTTCAAAACTGGCAAAATGCTTACCCTATGTTCTTCTTGTTGCTGCTTTAATGTTTCATATTCAAGGGCTGGCGCAGGAAGCTGAGAGATGATCATTTCTGTTTCAGTTAACCACGGCCAAAGCTCTTCATAAGTCTCCCAGAACTGGTTAACCAGGGACTGAGCCCGTTCCAGCTGGAGGTTTCTTTCTGAGTTCATTTGACAGACTGCATCATATTTCTGCAAGAGGCTTTCAATTTTTTTCTGTAAAATAATATTAATTTTTAAAAAGTATGTTTTTTCAAGTGTCTCTTACCTCCATTTCCAAACATTCTTTGATAATTACAGCACCAATTCATGGTGAATAAAAATTCAGTTTTGATGTTTCTACAGTATCACTGTTTAGGTGGACAGAATCAACAATCAGGGAGATCAGAATTTGGCAGAGTACTTGCAAAATAATTACAATACATTTAACAATACTGATATTTACAAATAACACTTTATTCATAGAGCTTTTAGTCAAGCTGCAAATGACCTGACTTTAGACCTTAGCCCAACTTCCTCACTGCAGACACTTCTCTTCAGTGACACCTGGCAGAAACTAAGTTTTCCACAGCATTTCTGAATCAAAGCAAGATGAACAATACACAAAATCTGTTGGGATGTTTAGTTTGGTTTGGTGGTTTTTGACAGGGTTTTCTTTTCCACTCTGGGAAGATAATACGATATACTTTTGTGATTGTCATTTACAAACTTGCAACAAAAACCACAAAACATTAATTTCCAGGTTAGCATACATTACTTAATGATAACGTATTGCCATTAATAACATAAATAATAGTGATAGAACTATAAGGCTTATACATTACCAATTTATTGTATTTGGGCATGTGATAATAAATGAAAGTATCAACTAGCTATACTATCTATATTTTTCCTGTGGAAAACTGCCCATATTATCATGTTTATGAAATATTGTATGTGACAACGCACATAAATCCTAGCCTTGGAAAAACTACATATAAGCAAGACATTCAGTGTGAATAAGCTTTTTTTTATTTTGGCAGAACAAGCTATCCTTTCATTTGTTATGTCTTGCATGTATATTAAGTATAGAGATGCTATCCAGAGGACAGAATATAACCTTAACACACAGATATACAGTATTTTTGACAAATAAAAATATTTAGTAGAGACTCACACAAAACTGCTCTGCCTTATGACTACAGTTTCATAGACAGAACATCTCATCTATTTTAAATTCACTTAAGACCAAATCAAATTTATTCAGAGATCCTGTGCAGCAGAACACAATTACTGAAGTGTTGTTTTTCATGGATTGGAAGGCCTGAATCTACACAATATATCCAAGCCTAGCCATAATTTAGTAAAAAAATCCCAACCCCACAACTAATCCTTCCTAAATGCCAACATGAAAAATCCATCCCTACATGTCTGCAGCCCTGACATTGGGTTCTCTGTGTCTGTGTGTAATAAACAAAGTCATAAGAATGCCTTTCATGGGCTGTGACAGGATGGAATAATCTTGGCAGGCAAGGTCTACATGGAAATCAGCAGAAATGAAAGTAAACATTCACACTGCAGTGCAGAGCTGTTGAATTCAGCACAGAAATGCTCACACCCAGAGCACCACTGACCCAAAGGAACTCAGAAGATAAACTGCCAGATTCTACACATCAACCCAGATGACTAACACCTCTTCACTCAATCATCTATAGGCTAAAATACTATTTACTATGGATGAGGATGATAAATGGGGCTCCAAATTTGCGTCAGGCAAAGAAGCAAGTACACAGCATTTGTTCTTTTAACATCCTGAAGGAAGGAGAGAAATATGGAACAGCATTTCCTTTAGCATTACAATCCTCAGACAGGAAGTGACTGTCATTAATGCTTTTTCATTAGTATTTTTAAAAAGACACTATAGGAATCCTTCTACATATACACTATCTGCATATCTACCATTGTAGCTGCAATTTAAGGAACTTTACCTTCATCATCTGTTTCTCTTCTTCAGTGCACGTTTTCATAATCTTATCCCCAGATTTAACAAGTTCATCTATAGTATCTTTGTGCCTTAAAATCTCCATGGTAAAAGCCTTGAAACACAATAAAAATGGGTTAGAATAATAATTTTTTAAAAAGTATTTGGAGCAAAACTGGTTTTGAAGTGCATTAATTATGATGGACTGAAAATTAAATCATGCCAGTACATTTTCTAGATGGAGAGTGTGCCGGCCAATAATTAACATGACAGTTGGAAATGCATTTCTTTTACCTTTTGAACTTGCAGCTGAGCAGTGGTCTGGTCTTGCTCAAGCCTAATATCACCCAGAGACATCAGTTTCTTTTCTGTTTCTGCAATCCAGGCAAATTCAGCATCAGCTGCTTGATCAAACTAAATGAGAGAGACATGAATTAGTTCAGCAGTTCTACAGACATGAAATTAGAATAACAGTTTCAAAAATTTTAAAGATGATTAAACAGAATATTTTTGAATTTTCATAAAGATAGCAGCTCAATTTCCATTTGAGATTTTTATATAAATGAAATGCAATGCTCAAAATGGTTCTGAGGTATTGTAATACAAGCAGCTTAGTTCATAAGCATGACAAAGCAACAGAAGCAAATACTTTTTTCCAAAGCCTACAGGTCTCTAAAAGCCATAAGAAAATAAAAAAGGATTACAAGCTCAGAGTTTTAACTAGACTGCTTGTTTTTATTTTATTCTACTTTTACATGTCCTTTTCATCTATGTTTATTATTACTGCTAGTGTTGTAATTATCCTGAGACACAGTTGTTTGATGTTACCCTATTAATCTGAAGAGCTGCTTTGGTATTGAATGATCAAGGCAAAACAATCACAGTTCAACTAAGTGCAAAAACCTCACCTCAGATTAAATGCAAACATTTTTTTGAGCATTTGGATACAGCCACTCCTTTTTCTACATTTAGTCAACATTTAAGTGTTTCAGAAATTTCCTAAAAGCACTAATGTAATGAGAGGATCTGTTTCTTACTAATTTGCAAAGAAAAGCATGAAAAGAAGAATGTGGAGATCTAAGTGTTCTGAAATGAAGATCAAATAAAAAAAAAAAAAATCATACGTTTTCTCTTCAGATCAAGTTTATAGGCATGCATCTTAGCACACACATGTTGTAGTACTCAACCAGGGCAGCTTTGAGCTGAAGCCAGAGAAATATTACGTGGGATGTATCAGATGGACATCGTAGAAACTACTAAGAATTTATTTATTGAATTCGTTAAAACTCTGCTCCCTCTCCAAAATTAACTGAACCTAAATATAGCCCTGAGTTATTGTGAAAGTCTGTCAGGGTATTTTAGCTCAGAACCTGCTACTTGTGCTGTTGATGCCCACGCTTTCCTCCGAAATCTCCTTCTCAATACTCTTAGTCACACTTGTCTTTAAAATATGCTGGTCTGTGTCTTTATGGCTGTAGTTCATAACAGCCCTGCTCCTTAATATAACTGGAATTTACTTTAGTCACTAACTCAGACTTGTTTTAGAAGTCATTAATGAGTCCCAAAAAATGAAAGAAACACTTCTGAGATTTTGTTCTTTATGAGTCAATCTTTTTCAGCCTTTATAATTAATTTATTACATGAAAGAGCAGAACATTCTTTTTCACTATATGTCATTTCTCATTTAAAGTAACAGAAAGTAAGACTTGTTAAATATTGTGATATCCTACTAGAAAGGTATATTCTGAAATAATCAGTACTGTAAACATTAGCATGAAGCACATGCACCAGTGGCAGTTAAATCCTGGCTTTACAAACTACAGTTTACAATCATGGTTTTCAAAAGTCCATCTATTTACAATAGAAACGGAGAAGATTATTTCAAATGTGTTAGAGGTACAAATTAACTGCAGTGTGACTTCCTGATACCAAATACTCATGGGTATGTAAGTAATACTGAGGAAATATTAAACGGAAATAACAAAACCAAGGCATGGCACTGAAACTTCTAAAGTTAAATAGCATTGAGGAAGAGAAGAATTCTAAACTCAATTTGCTGAAGGTATAGTATTTCCAATTTGTGATGCTTAAAAACAACATTAAGGAATAAAAAGCATGAAATTGGCACTCTCTGCATCCAAAATTTGAAATGTTTCCTTCCCATTATACATGGCAGTTACTTATGAGCCCTGAGCTACACTTTGAGTCACTATAAAACCATCTACTTAATCCCCATCCAGTTAAACCAAGCATAGTTCATTGTGGTACATTTTCTTCTGATCAGGAATGATTGACTTCTGAATATGATGATGCTGTGATTTTCCCCATGAATGCTTTCTAAAGCACTCTATGGCTGCTCTAGAGTGAAGAGCAAGCCTAAAGAAGAATATGACCTTGTATTTCTATACAGGACTCCTTCACTAGAGGACCCCACACCAAGGCCTTCAGTCTTGAGAAATGAAGACTAAACCATGCAGCTGAATTTATATCTATTATTGGTCTGGGACAATTTTGCCCAGGTAGTTTAAAACCCTGAGCATTACAGTTGTCTATTATTCTCCCAGCTTCCATTCACAACATGAAGCTATTCTGCCTAATCATCTGTGTTTCTTGCTGCATTCCTCACCCTGGTCCAGGGACATCTTGCACGAAACCCACACTTACTCCTACCGAAGCCTTGTATCCTCAGCAGCTTTGTCCTCCACCCAAACAGTACAGGCACTTCAACAAGTTGCCACAGGGCAAACTTAAAGAGCACTAGCTTCTCCAAAAATGTTTTTTATTTTGCATAGCTAAGTGGGAAGTATTTCATCCTTTACTGGAAGCACATTAAGCCACCTGAAACTTATCACAGGATACAGTGTATAGGAGTTTATTGCGATGATGTGGGTTGGCTGAAATGGAGGTTAAGGGTATGCAGGATGAGAGTGCAACGTGCCCTTGCAACATTGGCTAGTGGAATAGCAGCTCTGGACGTTTTATGCCTGGACCTGAAAGTGCTCAACTTATGCAAAAGGATGCAACTACTTACGGAATTAAGAAAATCTGAAGGACAGCCAATATATAATCTCCTATCTCACCTAATCATTCATTAAAAAAAAAAAATCACCCTTCATTTTTGAGGATTAAGTTAATGAGACAAGAAAATATTAATTAGCAAACCCCTTAAAAAGACACCTGCCATTATTTTTAGGCTCACTTAGAAGAAAATCTGAATTACTGCCAGTCTCTTTTAGTCAGCCTTTAGCGAATTTTGAAATTATCACACATGCTTTCTCCTTGTCCTGATATAACTGTTTATGGGAACTATATAGCAAATGGAGAAATCTCAACCAATATTTTTATGCCTAAACTGGAAAACTGTGTTTCCACAACACATTTATAAACTGGCTTAAATATGAGGCTACTCAGTGACAAAATTAGAGCCCAGTTCTCAAAGTGTATCCATATATACTTCCGTGCATGTATAGAAACCTCCACATATTAAATAACTCAGGTTTTGGGCCCCAAGAAGAAAAGCATTGCAGATATTACTAAAATCAAGTGTTATTTAAAACCTCTACCACAGCTTGAAAAAGGTCATTCAGCTTTTAAATGGCTAATGTGCAGAGAAGCTAGACAATCAGCTGATGCTAAAAGGTGTGGCCAACCTAGCAATATCACTGTTACATCCAGAAAAGGTGGCTCAGGACCTTTTTATATATTTTATTTAATGCAACAGGATGTACAAAAGATGTGGGCAATTCACCTCTTAAGGAAACTCTGACTTAAAGAGCCATAGGATAGTAACAGCAATTTTAGCTAAAATATTGTTGTTTGCATCAACAAAAAGGGAGACTTCTACAACAGAGTACAGATTAACAGATTTCTGGCATTCATATTTTAACACTGGAGTCCCATTTCATTCAAAGAGCCTTTTGCTGCTCAAGCATAACAAACTTTTGGCACAATTATTAAAGGACAGCTTTTGTTCAAAGTACACGTGGCCAGAGACTGTCACTGTCCACAGAACAGTTTTCAGTACCTGCTGGGATCTCAGGATGGCAGCATCAATCTCATCCACCTTCTGGGAGATCGTGTCACTCACTAATCTGTAACGCTCGTTGTCCTCCGTTATCATCTTGTCCAGCCCCTCTCTGGCCCTCCATGGCACCAGCTCCAGGAAGGCACTGCCAACTTCATTCAGAGTGTCCACTAAGCCTTTGTTGTTCTTTGCTTCTTTTTTCAGCTCCTGTAAAAGGCCATTTTAAACAATTAAACCATTTAAACATGGCAGCATATGAATGGAACATAGGCAGTTTGCAGTTTTTTCATTATTTCAACTACTCCATGAGTCCAGAACTGAAATGTTTTCCACACAAACCAATGGGCTAAATTAGGATACTTATTTTCAGCCAAACTGTATTAGCTTTTGTTTGACAGAAAGGTAGGTGATTCTTAAGAGAATTTTCTACATAATCTAACCTAAATATATTTCTCCATTCAGTATGACTGTCTGAAAATTTTAATAGAATTGTTTATTAGAACTGATGCTTCACGAAGCATCCAAAAAAACCAAAAAAACTAATGGATGGCTGCAAACTGCAACTCCACAAGCAACTAAGTCATCAGCAAATGAAATCAGTACGCAGTATAGTAAAATATGATGAATTCAAATGATTTCTGCAATGACTGGATTAAATTTCAAGCACATATTCACACCAAGGAACGAGTTTCTACCTGTACAGAACTCCCCATCTACTGAAGAAATTTAATAGAATTTTTTTAAGCTTCCACCCTCAACATTTTCCCTACCAGGCAGCTTACACTACATTTTTCCTTTTGAAATAAATCTTGTTAAACAAAATTAGTAATATATATTTAAAGTGCTGACACTTCACAGGATTTTATCCCTGCCACAGCTAAAGAACTAAAATAACTTTGTTTGACAGCTTATGAAGTTTCCCAGTCTTAGGTAGCTCCTTGAATAAAACGAAAATTCTCTTGTGCTAAAAATAAACCTCAGCCAAATTTCATACGGAATTATAACAGATGACTCTGGAAAAAGTTTGATTCTTAATTACTGTTACATTTAGTCAAATGATCTGATGCCAAAATTAGTTATTCAAAAAATTATTTCATATCAAGGATAAATTAACACAAAACCTCACCAAATCACAGAATAGTAAAAAATTCACAGGTCCTAAAACCTACTTTTTGTCTTTCTTGTACTTGGCTCAATTCTTCACCCTCTGGTATTTGAGTTTCATATGACAGTAACTCCATTTCTACTTCATCAAGCCACTTGCAGAGTTCTTCATGAGTTGAGTGCAGTTGGCCTGCAAGCTGCAGAGCCTGCTCTAAAGTCTTGGATACATCAGAACTTAATTTTGTGATTTCTTTGTATCTCGCTTTAATGCCTTCCAGTTTATCTTGAACAATTACAACTTCATCACCTAAAATGTTAAAGGAATGTTATTTCCCATGATCACAAATATTAAAAAAAACCAAACCCAAAACAAAACCACAACAACAAAAAAAAACCCTAAAATCCCAAACTCCACATATTACAGAAACGTCAGCATTAAATTAATAAAATAACCCAAACAAGGTGACAAGGCCAATCCTCAACTGTTGCAAATTATCCTACCACCACTAAAGCCCACAGAGCTACAAAGTTTACCTTAGTTCAGGATTGGTCCTTCTGCCTTTTTCTGTTTTACTAAACTATTACAAAGTAAGGAGTTAAATCCAATTTAAAACAGAAATATTCTTATATTAAAAAAATCCACCCTTAAATTCACAATACTTCTTATAAAAGCCAAATAAAAGATATAAAAGTGTTACAAAAAATGTAAAGAACATAAAAAAAAAATCTACATATTACTAAGTAGACTTTCAATTGCAGTAGATTTTGACATCACAGTTTACCCTCATTGCTGTCCATTTGAAACACAACTCAAAAGGCTAAAAGAAAAACAATGCTTTGAAATTTATTAGCCATAATATTTTTCAGATTTCACCACAGAATACGTGTAATGGCAAAGTTTGGAACAGAAAAGGATAAAACCACCCTGCACAAACACATGTACATCACAAAGGGTTCAAGAACTTTACAAGTACTGGAAAATCTGGACAGATGTTGATCTACAGAACAGACACATTGTATAGAACTGGAATGCAACTTTTCCCACAGCATTAGTTCCCATGGCCAAGGCTTTCCCCTTGCAGTAATAGGTAGTCTAATATCTTGTTCATCTGTGGATGCCTGCAGGGAATTTACTGTGTCCACTGCTGCCAAATAGCTCTCCACTATGAGTAATGTCCATAACTCGCCATTAGGAATGGAATGCAGGTTCACTAAAATTATTTTCCACTAAAAACAATAAAAAGGATCCTAGGGCTAAATTCTCTACAGGCAAAAAAGGCCTTTTGCTCACTTACATTAAAAGTAAAATCGGCCCCAAAACAACCTAACTTGACCTCAAACCTGATTAAAATAAACAACTACGATTGTTTTAACCAGTAAATATGAACCCTATTTACAGGTTTCATTTTATTTTTCTTAGGCACCTACAAGTACAAGAAAAAAAGTATGATAGATTATAGTTTTATGTAAGTTCTCACCTGTTGTTTGCTTGAGAAGCTCTAAGCCATTTTGTATAGCTAAATCAACATTTTGTTTTCTAAGAAGAATCTCTTCCTGAAGATCCTATGAATAAAGGTCATTTATGTTAGCACAGACCTAAAAAAATATATTATTTTTATTTAGAATAAGCATATTGACATTTTAAATAAAATAAATTCATGAAAATAAATGACATATGGGAATATAAATAAAATTAAAAACATGGATTAAATAAGAAATGAACAGAAATCAAAATACCAGTAGTTCAGAGTGCTGTTTCTCAAGCAATTCTGTGCTGCAATCTTGGACTGACAATTTGTTCAGTTTATCATGGATTTCATTCAGCCAGTTCATCAATTCAACTTCGTCCTCCCCAAAGATCTGAGCATTGCTGTAAGCTTGCTGGAGAAGTTCAGACCTGCTGTTGCTCTTCTCTTGAATTTCAATGTATCGTGCCTGAGCAGAATCTAGCTTTTCCTGCACCATATCTTTATCTTCCCTGGAGCACATAGTCTTTAGGGACTGACCAGCACTAACGGCCTGATGTAAACTCTTATTGTGAGCTAGGACATCATCTTCTAGGGCCTATATTTTATTTTAAATAATGAAGAATAATGGAAAAGAAAATCAGAAGAACATAAAATAAATTAAAGTGGAACTCAAAAATTCAAAAAAGATGACATATTGCCAACATAAATATATAAAACTTAAATTATAGGGGAAAAAAATGAAACAGTATGGTAAAATGAGTACAGTGCAACAGCTTTGCCAGTTGTGTTGTGCTTTACAGAAGCATCTAAAAAGAATGACTACAGCAAGTGAGTGGTTTGTATCTTACTTTATGCTGAGAAATTTGCTGCTGCAGTTTGGAGGCCTGTGTTCCAATAGGTTCTGCATTTGCAAGCCTCTTCTCTGTGGCTGTCAGCCACTCCACCAGAGGCTCCAGAGCTTCGTGGAACTGCTGTGCTACCACCGAGATGCCTTCCAGCTGACGGTTCCTAGCAACACACCCAGGGAATGGTTATCTTTTGGCATGAAGTAAGTGTCAAACAGTTTTAATAAAGGCCCTTGAATCCTTTGAAAAACACCCCAGAAATAATTCAATCTCACTGTTGGAACCAGTCACCAAATGAAACAGACATATATCTGTGATACTTAATGCAAGGCAATGTAAAGTAAAAATCAAATAAAATTAAAAACACACAAACACCTCCAAGGCATTTGGCTAATATACCAGTTTTCAAAATAAAAATAACATAACTTTATTCATATACCTTTTGCTAAAAATAATCTAGCACTCAGTTCAGCAAGACATTGTTTTATACCCAGTTAAGATAGTTCTCAAGTTTCCAGCTGTCTTCAAGCGTAAAGTTACATTCCCTTGCCTATCACACATGCTTTAGACAAAGGCTTTACTGAACCAGAACATACTGTCATGCTTCCTCAATGTTGTAAAATATCTTTAAACATTTTTTCAATGATGACAACAGAATTATTTAGTTCTAAATTTGCATCTCTCATCCTGGATAAGAGCTCTCAATGAAGTTAGTGAGACATCATTAATAAAGCACAGAGACTTGACCTCCAAAACAGGAAAGTAGTATCTAAAACATTTCTGGTTCCGATTACTATATCTCAGAGAAGACCCTTGATTACAGCAAAGTGCTCTCTACAAGCAGTGCTGAACAAATGCCATTCAAGCAGACTTTTAGGAGAGATTTGTTCTACATGAAAACATCACAAAAACATCTTTCAAATGAGTATCTCACTCCAGATAAAAGCTACATTTATATGTGCTTTCCAAGGCTTATAAACAAGGTATACTTGACATACTTAGCCATGGAACACTCTGTGGTGTACTCTACATAGTTTTCAAAATCATTCTCAAATTCCTTCTTCATTTCTAGAGACCAGCCAAAGAACAATGAAGAAAAACTGGCAGCTAATGGATGGCTTGGAAAAAGCTGCAATTTCATTTGTAATTAGATATCACCAGACTGGAAGGATATTATTAAATTAAATATGACATTAACATTTACCCCAGCTAATGAGTCAGATTCCTTCAATAAAAAAAAAGGAAAAAAAGAAAAGAAGGAAATAATGGTCTATTAGTGGTTGACTAATTAAATAATCCTATTATTAGTATGAGGTAACAAAACAGGTTCAGCTAAAGAGAGGCTACCAGAAGGAATAGAAGACTGCAGAGGTGAGGTGAGTTCAATGTTACTTTAAGTACCAACACAATCATTTGTTCTTCACTGTGCACTTAAAATTTTTCTTCAGCTTCCCAAGTCCTCTTTTACTCTCAATTATAGGCCTTTTTCCAAGCTATGTCTCATGCACCCTTCTCTCTACTCTGAAAAGACTGTCCTTCTCAAATCCCCACCCAGAAAATATGTTCAGTAACCCTTTCAACACAGATTTCTTCAAAGACACTCTAAAGTTCATAACTTTACAGGTATTTTATACATTGACAACAACTCGTAAATGTAAGCCTGTATTTACATAGATACTGTATGCATGGATTTTTGTTTGATTTTTTCAATTGGAACTTGAAGTGGACCTCAATGTCTTTTAAGAGATATGGTTTTCTGTGTTGCTAGAATATATATATCTGTATACTTTAAAGGTCCTTTTTTCCCTAGAAAACTAAGGGAGCTCAGCACTTGCATGCA